CATCTGCAGCAGGAGATGGTTGATGGCTTGTTACGTGTAGGGTAAGGTCGGGAACCTGGAAGCCAATACCTCAGGCTGGAATTGGGACCAGCTGTAACTTTATAGCCCTGTCCCTATGGTTTTATGCCTGATAGCTAGACCCTATATCCAAAAGATTCCACAGCCTCCCAAAACAGCGCCCCCAACTGGAGACCAACTATTCAAGTTGATAAGCCTGCATTTCCCATTAAGGATTCCCATATACTGGACTCTTCTGTTCTAGCCAGTTTGGGAGAAAATGATTGCTCTATGACTTCATACTTACAGACTGAAGAAAAGTTGATTTTTCAGTTGCTTCTTTGGTGGAGTAATGACTTACTTCCTAGCTTTTCATACTGCCGACCAGAAACTGGAAGCCATGTTTTTTGTTTCTTTTCCTTTCCCCAAATAATGAAAACAATCCAAACACCCATCAACTGGCATCTGGATAAACAAAGGCGGCATATCTATGCACAGTAATGATAGTTAACAATAAAACAGAACAAGCTACACATCGATAAAACGCAGACCTGTGGAGCATAAGAAGCCAGACCCAGAAGAACACCCAGGATGTGATTCTATTTGTATGAAATGTTCAGAGGAAAAAAAAATCTTTGGAGACAAAAAGCAAATTAGTGGTTCCCTGGGGCTGCTGGTGCAAACAGTAAAATAATCGCAAGGGGTATTACTGGAAGATGGAGAAGTTGTAAAATTGGATTGTGGTATACTCACACGACTTCTTCACTTACTCAAAACCACCACATACAAAAGACAAGTCAATTTTGTGAAGTGCAAATAATATCTCATGCAAGCTTATTACTGAAAAGAATAAAGGGTTATCTATAAAGACATGACAGTGTTAAATAAGCAATGGTGCACCTTTCCCCGGTGGCTCAAACCCAACCCCATCCCATTTCAATCTTCTTTATTTCCTGTGTTTCCTTAAAATGGCAATAAGAAATAAAACACATGGTGGGCATTTCTCATATCCTTGCAATTTTTAAAAATATCTGCTGAGGTGGTTGGCCTCTGAGTTCAAGGCCAGCCTGGTCTATAGAATGAGTTCCAGGACAACCAGGGCTACACAGAGAAATCCTGTCTCAAAAAAATTTGGGGATTGTAATATAGTTACACCATTTCCCCCTTCTTTTTCCTCCCTTCACCCCTCCCATGTTGTTCCTTTGCTCTTTCTCAAATTCATGGTCTCCTTTTCTTTAATTGTTGTTACACACACACACACACACACACACACCTAAATACAGAAATACAACCTGCTCAGTCTATATATGTATGTTTTCAGGGATGACTATTTGATATTTGATAACAGGTCTGTGTACCCTTCCCTAGAGAAGACTGTTCTCTGCTCCTAGCATCCTTAGTTGCCTGTGGTTCTTGTCTGTGAGTTGAGGCGAACTTTTCTTCTTTCATGTTGGCATATCTGACAAGGTGGTATTCTTAGAGTCTTGTTTAGGTAGCCATGTTAGTAAGACTTCTTGGATATAGCTTCTCTGACATTTCTGGGAGACGCGATCTTACAGCAAACCTCCTGGTCCTGTGGCCCTTTCTGTGCCTTCTTCTGCAAGGATCCCTGAGCTTTAGTTACAGGAATTGTGAGGTTATATCCATTGGGACTGAGATCCACAACTTTGCATTTGGATTGGTTGTGGTTCTCTATAGTGGTCGCCATCAGTACTGGCTGGTTTTATGTGTCAACTTGACACAAGCTAGAGTCATCAGAGGAAGGAGCCTCAGTTGAAGAAATGCCTCCATGAGATCCAACTGTAAGGCATTTCCTCATTTGGTGGTCAGTGGGGGTGGGCCTACCCCTAATGGGTGGTGCCATTCCTGGGCTGGTGGTCCTGGATTCTGTAAGAAGGTGGACTGAGGAAACCATGGACAGTAAGCCAGTAAGCAACACCCCTCCATGGTGTTTAAATCAGCTCCTGCCTCTGGATTCCAGCCCTGCTTGAGATCCTGTTCTGGCTTCCTCCAATGATGTTCTACGATCAGGAAGTATAAGCCAAATAAATCCTTTCCTTTCTAACTTGCTTTTTGGTCATGGTGTTTTGTCGCAGTAATAGAAACCCTAACTAAAAAACCATCTGTTACAAAGAAAAGTTTCTCTGATGAGGAGTCATATTGTTAAGTTTTTACTGTTCTATGGATATACTTGGCTTACCATCCCCTGGTTGGGTGTTTCTAGATCTCTTCCATACATGGCCATTAGGAAAAGCAGTATGTGCCATTTTCCCATCTGCCAACAGTGAAGCAGGGGCCCTTGTGTTATGATCTGGCTTCTCCCTCTACCCATCAGATGAGCTAAACCAGCATCTTACTGTTGGTTTCAATTGAGTATTTAGTCACAAGGAAAGGTGACACCTCTCTGCATCCGCTGATAGCTTGTTTGCATTATTGTTGTTGCTAGTGGAGTACCCATACTTTTCCTTTGCACCTGCTTACACTGGGATATGTGTCTTTTTTGCTGAGTCTAAGTGCTTTTTATAACATTAACTTTTATGCAGCTCTCTGTGGTGCAGATGCTTCAAGTTAGCCTCTCACCATCCAATGCACAGGAGCCTCATGCTACTTCTTCAGGGTTAGCAGTCTTGCCCCCACATTTTCTGACTTTATTGAAATACTTAGGCTTTTTCTAGCCCAATATCATAGACTGTTAGCCCCTATTTTCTATTTTTGGTAATTTTATAGTGTTCTCTTTCCCCTTTCTCTTATTTTCTTGCTAATCTTTAATTCATCCGAAAATTGTTTTGATGCATGGAGAAGATTAGAATCTAGAGACCTAGGGGTGTATCTTAGTGCTAGAATGCTTGCCTAGCATGTATGAAATCCTGGATTCAACCCTTGTGTCAAAAATTTTTTTAAAAAACTGAAATTGCAAATAATAGAATAATTGTCAGGACACAATTAATGAATAATTCATTCTTTTGCCGCTGCTGTGAAACATCGTCTCATTCATGTTTTAGATACTTGTCTCTGCTTGAGCCTCTCTCTAAGGCTTTTTAATCTCATTCTCTTGATCTCCTGTGTTTTCAGACGCTATTACAGCATGGTTTTAATTGTTTTGGCTTAATGGTATATTTTAAAATCTGATAATACAAGTCACCTTTCATCATTCCTGTAAAGACATTTTTTCAGTCATTATCTTATGTTTAGCTTTCACATTTTAGAGTCATCTTTCCAAGTAGAAGTCTTTTTTTTTGTGGTTGTGACTGGAGTTGAATTAAACTAAAAAATGATTTGGGAGAAAAGTGAGACCTGAAAATTTGCTTTCCAAGAACAGCATTGTAGCTATGATGTGTGTTTCTGTCTCAGTCTCATTGCCTGCCACCAGGGTTACTGTGTAGCCCTGGCATGTCTGAAACTCACAGAGATCCACGGCCTCTGCCTCCTGAGTGCTGGGATTAAAGGTGTGCGTCACCACTTCTGGCTTGGTTATCTCTCTTGCTTAAGGTGTTTTATTCGTTTTCATCGTAGACTATTGGAATTGCATGTTTGCATTTAGGTTATTATTGGTTGTTTAATATGTGTGCTGATGTTGTTAAGAGGGACCTTTTGCTCTTAAATTTCTTTATGAGTTCTCACAGATATAAAGAGGCACTGTTAGTATGTGCTAACTAGTTATTTAACTCTCCTTAACCATTCTCCCCTGTCTTTATGGTAGAGCATTGATTTTTTTCCATTGCATCCACTGAGGCAGTAGTAACATTGATGTTCTAGACGTAACCAGCCAATTCCTGGTTGGATCTGAGGCCTGCTCCATGGAAAGGAATATATGTCTGATGCTATAAATTTGCTGAAAAACTTATAACTATGGATAACAGACCTTACAGAGAAAATCTACTACTGATGATTTGATAAATGCTCATGCAGTTAAGATGCCTTCCAATTTTTTTTTCTGTATACACCCATAGATTAGAGCAACCTTGGTCAGAAAAGCCTCTGTAGGGTATATGAAATGGCCAGAGATTCCTAATTGGTCAAAGGACTAAGAATATGTGTGTGTTGCATATTCCACCGGAAACAGGACATGCACATTAGCCCTTTGAGGCCCAGGGAACGTTGTAGGCCACAGGGTAGGAAGACAGTGGTTAGGGAAGACAGCTGTAAAATGCTGACTTATATGTGTGGCATGGCCACTGCTCTCATGAGCATACAGCAGCTATGACCACCTGCCCAACACATGTATAGACACACACACAAAAAGAAAAAGTCATGAAAATAGAGGGAGGCTAGCTGGGAAGGAGGGAGATGAGACGTAATGGGGAGTGAATACAATCACAATACATTAACATTTATACCATGTGCAAATAAGAATTTGCACCTTTGCAGAAGTCATGCCTCTCAATTCACTTTCTATTTTGTTTTGCGGGTTAGTGGTGCAGTGTGAATCTTTACCAACACTTTTTTTTTCCTTTGACAAGAATGCCTCTAGTGTTTCATTAGATATTAGTTACTGTGTTATGAAGGCTGATGTGTGCAAAAGGTGCTCGAAGGAAGTCTTTCCTGCTGCTGTCTTATTAAACATTCTTTATGGCGGTAGACCCTGGATTTCATCAGAAGCCTTCCTGATTCTTGAGAGTCGGTTGTATTTTCATCTCCTTTGAACTATTGATGTGGTGGAATGGTATTCATGGATTCCTTTATATTGAACCGGTCTTGCATCCCTGAAATAAAACTATGTGGTCATGGTATATTAGCCTTGTAATATTCTGGTAGATTCTACTTGCCAGAACTCTATTAAGAATTTTTGTGGCAGTATTAAGTTGGTAATCTTATTTTGGCCTGTCAAATTTTGTTAGCAGGAATTTGCTAGTCGGCTAAAATGTATAATTTTTGAACATGGAAATTATCTAGGATCTTCTTGAGCAGTGGGGTGGGAAGACCTCATCGACATAACCTGCACAGAGCATCCCTGCTCCAGCCCCATCCCTCCCTCGCACACACTGCTCTGTCATCTCTCACAGGAGGAATCTTTGAGTATGCGGACGGCCCCAACGCCCAGGTCATGAACGCTGAGGAGCATGCCTTTCGATTTTCTGCCAACATCATCAACAGGAACAGGACTCTGCTGCCCAACACAACCTTGACTTATGACATTCAGAGAATTCACTTTCATGACAGCTTCGAGGCCACCAAGAAGGGTGAGTGTGCAGATCCTTGTTGTGCACTTTCAACTTGGGGGGGTGGGGAGGGGGGGTTGAAGCCTTTCCCACTTGGTCGGGGTGGGGGGGGGAGGCTGATTCTTTCTCTGTTTAGAGTAGCCTGTGCCACTCCCCAAGGAGCAGGGGTGGGGCCTGAGAGGAAGTCCCAGGCTAGCCAGGCATGGTGCTGTAGCCCGTAATGCCAGAAGTCAGGAAGCTGAAGGAAGGTCATGAGCTCCAGGCTACTCTGGACTACATAGCCAGTATAAGGTCAGCCTGAAGTACACAGCAGGACCCTGGGAAGCTATGAAGGGAGGTTGGTAAGCAGGGGAAAGGTAGACAGGGGCTGGGGTTGCCTGAGAGGAGGCCAGCCAAGGTCTCCAGGACCTTTGAACCAACATGAACATTTTCAAACTTGAGTTTTCTTTTCTATTAGTTTTATTTTTAATGGACAAATATGATTATTTAAAGTATAGGATGTGCTGTTTAGATACATGTGAGCCTTAAATATTGGTCAAATCGGAGGACCTCACATATCCACCACATCTAGCATTCATAATTTCCTTATGGTAAGCACACTATTTCAGCTATTTCAAAATATGTAATACATTATTATTAACCATAGTCACCTTGCCACAGAACTTATTTTATCTTTCATTGGTATCCTACTCAAGCAGCAATAGGTAGCACACATATAAAACAGATACTGTGTTAGCCCAAGAGCACAACATCTGCCTGCCATGAAAAGACTTCATGAAAATGGCACACTGGGTGCTGGAGAGATAGCTCAGAGGTTAAGAGCACTGGCTGCTCTTCCAGAGGTCCTGAGTTCAATTCCCAGCAACCACATGGTGACTCACAACCATCTATAATGAGATCTGGTGCCCTCTTCTGGTGTGCAGACAGAACACTGTATGCATAATAAAAATAAATCTTAAAAAGAAAGAAAATGGCTCACTGTGTGCTCAGTGCCTACGGCAACTTGACCCCAGAGGCTAGAGATCCACAGATAAGGCCTGGATCTGACCCTGGTCCCATATTCAGTGTGTGTCTGTTGCTGACATCGCCACTAGAAAATCCTGGCTCACAATAGCAAGTTGTGTGAGTTCCGTTCAAGTGGTCCCACACCTGAATTCTTAAAAATAAGATAAAAACAGATTAAAAGAGAGTGAAATACCACTGTCAACAGGTGTACACACACACACACACACACACACACACACACCAAAAGAAACAGTAACTAAGTTCTCAGTTCCTGGGTGAGTAGCCAGTTGCCATTGTGTTATCTAGCACACCCAAGTGCACAGCGGGTATTTGCTGTTGTTACTGTGTTCCTTAAAGATTTCTTTACTTTTGTTTTATGAGTGTTTGCCTGCTTGTATGTGTGGGCACCACGTGCATGCAATGCCTGCAGAAACCAGAATAGGGTGTCAGATCCCTGTGGAAATGATGTTTGATTGTGAGCTGTCATGTGGATGCTGGGGACTGAACCCGGCTCCTCTGCTAGAGCAACCAGCGCTCTTAACCACTGAGCCATCTCTCCAGCCCCATCTTAATGCCCTTTAAAAGACAGCTTGTATATGTAAGTCCACACATGTGTACATACACACAATTAGCCCTCCAGGCCATGGGCCCTACATCTATGATTTCAACAAACCATGGACCAAAATCACCAGGAGGGGGAAAAATGAATTTCTTCTGTACTAAACATATATAGACTTTTCTGTGTCATTTTCCCTAAACAATAAGCACAGCGCCTATTTACATAGCATTTGCATTGCATTGTGGGATGAGGCGTCTTGAGACGATAGAGCATAAGGCGTAGTGTGTGGAAGATATATGCAAATACCAAGTCCCTCTGTGCCAGGGACCCAGCATCTGTGAGTCTGATATCTGCAGGAGGTCCTGGAACCAATTCCCTGCCGATCCTGAGGGAGACTGCATATCTGAACTATATTTTTACATATATATTTAATTCAAATTCAACTTAAAGGCTTAGATAACTGGAAATAGCTTCCATAGAACCTTCGATTTCTGTGTAACCATTTAAAGATCTCAAGCCTAAGGAATCTCATTTCCAAAATGACTAGGTCATCCTTTCCGAAATATGATATCATAACCCATCAAAGCTCATATCACAACTTTTAGTTAAATCATTGGGTTTTTAACATACTTTCTCTTCTTCACATTACTGAAGGGAAGACTCTCTTTTGACATTTCTCTATTTCTGGGGCACCTGGAAGATAAAGGACTGTAGTAACTGCTCAGTGAAGTAACTGTTGAATGTATCAGTGAATGATGACAGCCTAAGAGTCATTGTCTAGGACCCCTGTAAACTGAGTTTAGGGGTTAGCATCATCCAAGGCAGGTTGAGTGAGACTTGCCCACAAGCTCGCCTTGTCTCTCTAAGGAGTTCCTGATTTCTGAGCCATTTGCTCTCCTGGGCTGCCAGGGGCAGAGCCAGCAGGATGTTACCTGCTCATGGCTCTGTTTCCCAAAGCCCCACTCTGGGTTAGCTTTTGAGCTCAGAGCTTCTGCACATATGGACACTGGCATCCCTACCAATCTGACCTCAGCAATGTTGGACAGAGTACCTCTATTAAGTGCTTAGGACTGTGTCTGACTCTAATAAATAGGTCTTTGCTCTGGGTACACCAGGCTCCCTGCCCTCCACATACTGGACCATCAGCGAAGGGTCTGACTCCCACAAGGGCTTTCCCTGCTGCCCCTCTTCTCCTGTGTGTGCCTAAGGTCAGAGGTGCCATGAGGCTGAGCTGCTAATGTCTGACAACCAGGAGCCTCACTGCACCCTGGCTTAGTCCTGAACCCCACCTCCCTGAACTACTCTTGATTGTTCCCAGCATACCCTGTGGCCAGAACCAGGAAGCAAACGACCCATGGCCCTGCCATGCTGACATCATGTGCAAATGATTACACTGGATCAGACCTAGCCCCAGAATTTCAGGATTCAGCAAATGCCTGGAGTCAGATCAGAGGCCCTCATGGGTTCATCCAGCCTGAAGGCTATACTGTCTGGCTAGTGATGTTTTGTGACCCAGCATAGGCACCTTCAGCAGCATAACAGCATAACACAGTTTGGGGATCCTTCCCAGGGCCCTTCCTCCCAGGACTTACACTCCCTAGGCATTACTGCCAGGTTGTCCACAGACACCAGCAGCAGAACCATCCACTCCCAGAAGTCAGCCATCGTCTTTTCTTCCTTATCAGATCACACCTTCTCCCCTAAAGCATCCCTGTGCCCCATCCCCAAGGCATCATTAGATCACGGCCGGCTAGCGACAGCTTGACCTTCCTGCCACATCTGGGCACCCAGTCCCTGTTCCCCTTGTTGCTAATCCCTTCAAATGTGCACACCCTACCCAAACCCAGCCTTGCTGGTGTTGAGCTAACTCATTATTCTGCTTATATCCTTTTTAATATAAAGTCAGGCCTCCTTGCCTATATCTTTATAACTCTAGACTTTTCCTTTGCAATCTTGCAATCTCAACTCCGTGTGTGTGTGTGTGTGTGTGTGTGTGTGTGTGTGTGTTTCTGTGTCTTCCACTAGACTATAGTCTCTATTAATATTTCATTACTGTACTATATAACCTAGTGTCCTAGTTTGCTTTATGTTGCTATGATAAAACACTGACCAAATCCAATTTGGAGGAATGCCAAGGCAGGGAGAGGCTGGAGGCAGGCACTGAAGCAGAGATCATGCTTACTGTTTCTCTTGCCTTGCTCCTGCTCAGCCTGCTTTCTTATACAACCCAGGACCGCCTGCCAGGGGTGGCACCACCCACAGTAGGCTGGACCCTCTTTTCGTTGTTGGTTTTCGAGACAGGGTTTCTCTGTGTAACAGCCTTGGCTGTCCTGGAACTCACTTTGTAGACCAGGCTGGCCTTGAACTCACAGAGAATCACCTGCCTCTGCCTCCCATGTGGACCCTCTTACATCCTCAATCAAGACAATAGCCTACAGAAAGGCCCACAGGCCTGTCTGATGGGAGCAATTCCTTAGTTGCTGTACTGTCCTCCCAGGGTTGTGTCAAGTTGGCAATAATAACCAGCGCACCAATCATGGACCTGTACCAGAGTGCCCAAAGTCATTACTGAGGGTTTGGTGTGATATATATACAAGTGAGAGACAGTATTAACAGATTGCTGGTATGTTAGAGTCACTTTAAATTTCTCCTGATAACCCCACAGGGAGACAAAGCTTCACCCCTCTACAGATCACATCCAAGTAGGCAGTCGGGTCATAGGACCCACAGCTACGGTAGCCAGAGAATGGCAGCGAATCACACAAGTGCTGGCACAAGCAGGAGGGTTTCCTGGAGTAGGAGCCGTCTCAGCTGTGCTCTGGAGGGCCTTGGAACAGTGAGGACAAGGGCAGCTTGGAAAGCAGGCTGGTTCTGCAGGAGGGCAGGAATGCACCTGGGTAATCCTGGTGAGCATTTTCTGGGTGACAGAAGCTAGGGGTCACAAGGTGAGAAAGGCTTAGGTAGCCAGCCCCTAACACTGCAGGACTTCTGTTTTTCGTGGCTGGGAAGATAGACCCAGGCCTGCCAGCCACAGGGAATGACGCAGGAGAAGTGAGTCCATCCTGGGCTTGGCCAGGGAGTATTCAGAAGAAAGAAACCTGTCTAGCTAGTTCAAGGCAGCATCTCTAGCACCCAGATCAAGCCAGAGAGCAGGCAAGCCCTTCTAGGCCTCTGGGAGCCCCTGTGACCATGCTATCTATTTGTGGCTGCCATCACTCCGTGCCCTCCATTCAATTCCATGGAGTCGAATGCAGCAGTACTCCCCAGCCCTGCACTCGTGGGGCATCATGACTGATCGCACTCTCCATGAGCCCTCGAGTTGCTCCCACTCAGGAGTTACTAATGCAGTGTTTCTGCAAACGGCTGGGTGCTTGTCTTCAGGGGCACAGGCACCCAGTTTTGTTGAGTTTGTTTTTAGGAGATGAAGCATGGGGACATGGTGGTGAGGGGAGCAGTTTCATAGGTGGTTGCACAAATCTGCACTCGCACAGCGGTCCACAAGGCTGGCGGGTGTTCCGCATCTGTGCTGACATGCAGCAAGTGCAGCAAGGTCAGTTAGACTTTTGAAGATTTTTTTTCTAAAAACGATTTGAAGCCATTGTGTTGATTTTTTAAGTGGTTGTCTTATTGTGGTTTTCTTTTCTATTTATCAGATGACTAGACAATGGAAGTCCCTTTTAATGGGGAAAGACCTCGTCGGGCTCAGTGCAGGAGGAAGGACTAATTCAGTCAGAGGTGGTGCCAAGCTTTGTGCTTCTGTGTCCCAAGGCCCCATGAGACCTAATATGCCCTGCTCTGCTAATTTGAATATTGAATAGGTCATTTAAATATTCATTTTCTCCTTTTTGGAGTGCTTCTTTTTTAACCTTTCAATGACCTTTTAAAAGCTGAGTTGCTTGTCATTTCCTTGTTGATTTAAAGGAGTTCTTTATATAGTCTGGCAAGAGTCATTTTGGGTGTGTGTGTGTGTGTGTGTGTGTGAATAATACATCCTATATGTATTATGTCTATTACATATGGTATTGTCTTTCATCCTCTCTTAGTGGTCATATCTCATGAGAAGCAAAGTCTTTAATTGTCAGAAGTCTGATTTATTAGTAATTCTCATTGTACATTCTGGTTGAGAAGTCTTTGTCTATCCTGAAGACAGTCTTTAGGAGTTCTGTGGTTGTGTTCTTCACGGTTGGCTCTCTGATCTGTTTCTGTGTGTAGACCGACATGACTTTTGAGATTTGCTTCTTGTACACAAGGCTGGTAGGATGGATTCAGCTTCATACAGCATTGTTTGCATGTATCTATGTGTTTTAGTTAGGATTTTCCTTGCTGTGAAGAAACACCATGACCATGGCAACTCTCACAAAGGAAAACATTTAATTGGAGCTGGCTTACAGTTTCAGAGGTTTAGTCCCTTATCTTCAGTGTGGGACATGGCAGCCTGCAGGCAGACATGGTGCTGGAGAAGGAGCTGAGAGATCTACATCTGAATCCGCAGGCAACAGGAAGAGAACTGTATTCCACACTGGGTGTAGTTTGAGCATAGGAAAACTCAAAGCTCACCCCCACAGTGACACACTTCTCCAACAAGGCCATACTTACTCCAAAAAAGCCACACCTCCTAATAGTATGACTCCCTAGGGGGGCATTTTTTTCAAAACACCACACCAAACATCTACCGAATCTTATGCATAAAAAGATATTTCTATCTAGTCATTTTTCTGTTAACAACCAAAAGCTAGATATGGATGAAAGGACCATTTAAAGAGAACAGACAGGTTGGCACATAATTAAACAATGGAGTTTTAATCAGCCACAAAGGAATAGACTCAGGTAGGAGTGTGGCCCAGTGGTACAGAGCTTTCTGGCATATGCCTTGGGTTCCATCTCCATCCAACACATGCACACACACACACACACACACACACACACACACACACACACACACACATGCACACACACACACACACATGTCGGAAGGGGGCTTTAGTATATGGCACTGTGTCTCAGGTTTTTCAAACCTGGCAGGTAGCCTCCCTCTTCCACAGATGGAAGCCATGCTGTCTGATCCTCCAGGCTTTTCTTCTGCTGTGCTGGCTCCCACTGAACACCCCACTTCCCCAGGAGCTGCAAACTCTCCCGGTCCGTACTCCTTTTGATTTTTGATTTTCAGGCTGCATTCCTCAGGACCCTCACTAGGACCCTTCCAAGGAGATGCACTTAGGCCCAATTCTGAGATATCCACTGATAATTAATTGTTTCTAGATGAACGTTAGCACCACCATTCTCCCCCTGTGAGCTGGATCCAACCACCTTAGATCATGTGGGGCAAGGGGACATAGCAAGACAAAGCCTGGCACCATCTACCCCACCAGCTCTGGCTGAATTCATCTTTCCTCTTGCTTGAGGCCCAGGAGGCCTTTCCCTATTAAAAGGGACTTTCACTATTGCCTTTATTTTGAAGTGTTTTGTGGAAAATTAAAAGAAGAATGTCTGCCAAGCAGGATCTGAGCCAGCAGCCCAGAAAGCACTGTGTTTTCTTCCAAGCCTGGCCAGAGCAGGCTGGAATCGACCCAGCACTCCCCAGGCTCCTCTGCCTGCACTTATTCTCTGGGTGGCTCAATTCCTTTTAAGACACAAATTGATTGGGATAATTTCAGCTATAACTACAATTGCCATGGAAGGGAGGGTGTATTCAGGCTGGGGACTCCTACAATGACTGTGAACCATTGAGTTACTGTAAAATGACCAGAAAATGGATTCAAAATTGAAGCCACAAATAATGTAATTACTGCAGTGTATGCACAGGACTGCCAGGACAAGGTTGGCTGCTGCCCTGGAAACATCTGGAAGCAAGGCTGCTATTGTTGCTGCTACTGATGCTGTGACAACCTCTGTCCTAGGCCTTGTTGGTAGCAGAGTTCTTCCATTCTGGAAGATTCTTAGAGAGTAGAAGAAACATGGAAGGACTGGAGGACATATGCAGAGAGGGGACAAGGATAAAAACAAGTGGAAGTTGGGAATGAGTCCAACTAGGTCCAGACTCTGCACCTTTGGGAGAATGGAGTCTAGTGTGTACATTACTATCATCTGTCAGTACCACAAATGTCAGCACCACAATTCTTGTCATCCCTGTTCATGCTATCTCCTCCATCCCTACCTCTGCTGCCATCATTGCTATGACAACATCATCATCACCACCAGTCTTGTCAACACCAACGTCACCCCTCCTTCTGTCCTCAACACCATCATTTTCCTGATGACAGCATCTTTATCAGCAGCACCATCCCACAGGTACAATGGTCCACAGAGACCCCATTTTTATCTCCTTCTCTCTCCAGCTGCATCTCTTGCCATGCCTGCTGGCTTCATCTCCATGATTGTGATGCCACAGACATCTTTATCACCCGTAGTGTCCTCTACACCAACATCACTATCTCAACACTCCCTTCTGCATTGCACACCTGGTGCTTCTTCTACTAACTCCTGTCTCAGTCAAACATGATGCTCAGCCCTTGATCCAGGATAGGAGCATCCCATAAAAGGGTAGTCATTGTAAGAATGGAAGAGATGCTACAACCTTAGTTGCCTGTTTCAAGGTCAGAGCAAAGTGAGGGCCCATGAAGCAGATTTATTTTTTGGAGTGGTGTAAGGGTGGTTTTTCCTTTTTCTTTCTTTCTTTCTTTTTTTTGAGTAGACACAAGTCATTCTGTCAAGTCTTCGGTCTAAGCATCCTAGCAGAGGTGTACATCCTTTAAAACATTATTACATTTGGTGCATGTGTGTGTGTACACACAAACTTGGGCCTGCATGTATGTAAAAGATAAGGGATGGGCTGGGGACTGGTGTAGTCACCAAGGTAGGAGGGGAAGACAGACTTTGTTTAACAATGTGTCAGCCTTCCCAATGGTTCAGCATTTAGTTTTGGAGGCCCTGTTTTACAAATCTTTTAAACAAAATCTCTGTGGGGTATGGAGCTTAGGGGGTATAGGGGGACGGGTGCTGCTGTTGGAGATGAGGCAGTGATGGTTTCCCTAAAAGACCTGCAGACACAGAAACGTTCCCTAGGCAGAGGATCCTAAACTGTCTAAGAGTAGAGAAATTTAACTGAGCACAAGCAAGAAGGCATGCATGCATTCATTTCTCTGTGCTCTCGACAGTGGCTGTGATGTGACCAGCTGCTTGAAGCCACTGCTGTGATTTCCCTACCGAGGTGAAACTGTGAACCAAAATAAATCCATTCTCACCTAATTTGCTTTTAGGATATTTTATCACAGCAAGAGAAATGAAGGCAGAACACAGGTCTAAGAGGCATCTTAAACATCCAGACGGCACCACTGAAAGAGAAGGGAGATGTTTATATCAGGTCTTAGGGAGCAGGCCAGGACTGGAGGTAGAAGCTGGAGTCCCCAGTCATTAGAGGTTTGCTTCCCCTATTTGTCTGGAATCTGGGATGCCACCAATGAAGACATCACGGTTGTATAGCATGCTTATAGGGTTGGTGTGCTCCACAGCTGGGCTTACCTCTCTGGTGTCAGATGAAGGAGACACTGTTACAGCCCTGTTGCTCAGATGACGAAACTGGGGCTTCATGAGTTGTTCTCACCACCCAGTGCACTTCTGGATCTTTCCCTCATGGGTTCAAGGGATTGTCAAAATCACTGCCCACTCCCAGGGTGCATAACACCTCACTCACCCCTGTGTCCCCTTCCACTCTCTTGTAGCCTGTGACCAGTTGGCGCTGGGTGTGGTAGCCATCTTCGGGCCATCACAGGGCTCCTGCACCAATGCAGTCCAGTCCATCTGCAATGCCTTGGAGGTGCCCCACATCCAACTGCGCTGGAAACACCATCCCCTGGACAACAAGGATACCTTCTATGTGAACCTCTACCCCGACTACGCTTCTCTCAGCCACGCCATCCTCGACTTGGTCCAGTCCCTCAAGTGGCGGTCAGCCACTGTGGTCTATGATGACAGCACAGGTGGGTGACTAGACCTGCCAAGACCGGGGGAAGGGGAAGGGAGCAGAGTCCCGAGATTAGGGTTGTCTGCTTGCCTAGCATAGCTGCCTCCGAGGAGAAAGTCACATTTACACCAGACACCAACAACAGCCAGTTACACTGACACTTGCCCCTAGGATCTCTCACACCCATGCACACCAGCCACACCCCAGCCTGGCTCACCCCTGACTCTCTCCTCCCCCAGCACGCATCACCTTCAGTAGCAGAGTACTGGGATCTGTGATTGGCACTTGCCCAGCATTGACTGGTGCTCACAGTTCCATGGCCACCTATCCCCAGCCTGCGCTGGTACACCTGTGTGTGCCCTGCCACCCATCACTGGCCTGAACTGCTAACCTGTACCCTGCCACCTGCAGGAGGCCTGTCTGGGGATATTCTCCACACCCATTCGCAGTTTCCTTGCTCTGTGGCCTGGTGTGCAGTGTGTTTGTGCTATGTGGGAATCCCTGCTCTCCCACCTGCTGGCTGGGCTGCCACTCCCTGCCTTCACCTCCTCATGGGAGTCTCCGGAATAAAGAGGAAAAAATATTCATAGAAACCTGACTCAAAGCGCAAGGGAGGTCAGCTCCTGATCATCCTGTCACCTGCGCACAGCCCCCTTCCCCCATTTCTTTGCCAACCCCCAGCCACCCCTGTTTCCTGTTCATGCCCCCACTGACCTCAGATACCAGCTTCCTTCCTACTTACATGATTGCTGGCCCCACCCAGGGTCAGGTCTGGCTAAGCTCTAGGCTTGGGTCTCATCTTCCAGTGAGGAGGAAGGAAAAGCCTGGGCTCTGAGTTTCCGCTGAGGCTGGACCCCCTTTGCAGAGGCACCTGTCGGTCACTCGTGCCTTGCCCAACTGGAACACATCAGCCTTCATTCCTCTGCACAGGGCCTGCTTAGTCCAGTCCTGTCCAGCCATCCAAATCTATCATGGTGCTCGCCTTCCAGAACCCTCTTAGGATAGTGTTGCCCTTTACTTCCCAAGTCCTGGGCCCTTCAGTATAGGCCTAGAGCAGATAGCCACTAAGGGCTCCAGCAAACATTCTGGGCCTTTCCTTTGGACCTTGCAATCTGTGACGTATCTTCAGCCATCATCTTGGCAAAATGTGTGTTCCGGGAGAACACAGAGAGGGTCAGGAGAGGAGGAGAGAAAAGAAGGATGAGGGCATGGGAGAGACTACCATATGTACCATTACTCAAGCAGTGCCAGGAGAGTCTTGTTTAATTCCTCATCTTTCAGCATCTCCATGGGGTGGTAAATCAGAAACAAGGCAACAAACAGATTCAGCAAGGTAGCAGAGCCCGCCCACTGTCATCAGCCAGTATCACAGCCCACACTATCCTGCTGGCCTGTCTGAGCCCAAGGCCACTACTATTAGCCAGCACAGAGCTGCTTCCTCTTTCTTTCCAAAGACTTGAATCTCAGGAAAATTCTTAGCCCAGCCTCTTCAACGACAGCGACCTTGGCAAGTCACTTAACCCATCTGGCCTGGCTGTTCTCGTGTGTGTGGAGAGGTGGGGCACCCAGCCTTGACAAGCCCTCCAGCTCTCAGACACCTGCCGTTCCATGCCAGCTCTTGATTACCTCCTGGTGGGGGATGGGATAGCGGATGAGGGACCACAGACAAGTTATCAGGGCACTATCCATCTCAGAGTTCTATAAACAGCTACAGAGCTCCATGCTAGCCGCAATCCTCAAAAGGTAGCCTACCACCTGAGATCCCAGCATGGAACTCTGTCACCATGGTGTCCAGTCCTCTCCAGTGTCTCTGCAACTTGGTGGTCTTCCTTTTCTAAATCAGTGGTTCTCAGCCTTACTCATGCTGTGACCCTTTAACACAGTTCCTCATGTTGTGGTGACCCCCAACCATAAAGTTATTTTCGTTGCTACTTCATAGCTGTAATTTTGCTGCTGTTATGAATTGTAATGTAAATATCTGATATTCAGGACATCTGATATATGACCCCTGTGGAAGTCACGGCCCACAGGTTGAGAACTGCTGCACAAACATTTGTGAGCCCATTTCTGCTTCCAGATCATAAGTTCTCTGTGCCTCTAGGACTCAGCACAAGGCTGGTACGGTGTGGACATTTTTAAAGCATTGGTTGAACTGCAGGAAATGGTACAGGATGTAGAAATGAAGATACCGCTCCCCTATTTTTTGAGGAGTTAATCATAGTCTAGGAGAACAGGTGCCTAGTTATAGGGTGCTGGTAACTCTTGGCCATCAGAGCTGAGAATCAAGTGGAAGGACAAGTAGTCAGAGCTCTAGGTACCGGGACTGTGGCCTTGGCTGGTGTGTGCTGGCTTCCCAGAAGAAAGGAGAGATTTGCCCTGAACCTTGAAGATAAGGGCACAGAAGGACAGAATAAGGCATGTTGTAGGCATAGCAGGCAGAAGGAGCAATGTGAGCCGAGGAGGGAGGGTGGGGCAGTGTTCTGAGATGCCAGCCTGGCTGGGAAAAGGATGGAGTGTGAGCAGGGAAAGCGAGACAGACGGGATTCGCCTGGCTGTGCAGGTCTGACATCCAGCCTCAGGCTTCAGACTTTATGTTGTGTGTAACGGAGCACCACTGAGTGCTGTCGAGCGTAGCTGTGGAATAATGAAAGTCGGGTTTCAGTAGACGCCCCTGAGAGCCGAGTGTGAGATAGGTTAGAAGGAGAGCAAAAATCTGGGGGGACTGAATGGTCCCCCACAAGAACAAAGGAAGCCAGACATCACCACAAGGGGTTGCCTGAACTTGGAAACATAACAGAGAAGAAGAAACAGATATTTGCAGGATGGCTGTAGTGTCACAGTTAAGTGGACATAGCTGATCCTGGCTTGAAGCACTGTCCAGGGGTGCAGAGCCTCCAGGCTTTGCGAGGAGATATGCCAGGGTGACAGGCACCACTCGAGGGGCACTTCTCAGAACTGAAGCTTAAGCATGCAGCTTTCTTTCTTGAGCCTTAGGTCTACTGACAAATCCACGCTACTTGGCTCTGATGGCCTGGAATTGTCAGTGACCTCAAGATAGAACCATTTCCTCCACTCCTTTTTTTTTTGTTTAAGATACTAGCAATCAAACCCAGGGCCTTGTGCATACTAGGCCAGTGCTTTACCACTGAGACTCTCCTACAGTCTGATTAGCCATTCAAAAAATATGGGATAAAAATGCCTTCATTCTTCACCTTCCCAGTGCCTAATGTACTCTTTGTTGAAACATTTCGTTAGCATTTAATTCAGTTTGATTTTCAATTTGTCTCAGTTTAGTTCAGTTTAGAAGGTACTTATAGTGGAAGCAGTGAGAGATGGGATTTGTTCAAGAAAACAATGGGTTCTAGGATTCAGATGTGCGTTAAACAGTAATATACCATTGAAAGAAAGAAGTGGGAAGCAGGAGCCACGCTCTTCCAATCAAGACATTTCACCAGGCTGGACCACCACCCGGTGGGAAGCACAGTGACTTTAGCAGGCTCTGGCTAAGTGTGGCAGGGCTACGTCCAGTAGTATGTTTTAGCTGATGGGACAAACCAATTCAAATCAACTCCGTTTTCTTGCAGATAGAGGGTATGGGCTGGATCTTTCTAGGGCTCGTTTAGCAGCTCAACAAGGCCAGGGTGCTATGTGGACATGATTATACCCCTCTTGACCTTCTCCTCCTGGGCACAGTAGTGTTGGTGCAGCTCCTTACAGTACCAGGCGCCAACACTCCAAGCAGGAAGGAGACAAGGAAATTTGTCTTAATGTGACTCATACCCCTTAGCAACAAGAAAGATCTGTCTTTGAACCTTCTAGAAGATGGTCTTCTACAGCTCGTGGAGCCCATGTCTTCTACTCCTAGGCACTGTAAAATGGGAGTAAGACTGACACTGACTGGCTCCTAACGGTTACGAGGACTGGCACATCGCCATACTCCTTTTGGCATGTCAGCCGAGGATGCATCTGTTAGCTCTTTCTATAATAAGCTGTGTAACAAACCACCCCCAAAAATCTAGTGGTCTAAAACAGTAAACATTGTGTTGGCTCCTGCATCCACCAGGTCAGAGGCTTACTGGACCTGGCCAGCTGCTTCTTTGGTTTCAACTGGCTTACTTGCCTGCCTGCTGGTAGCTCTAGGCTGCCTTTGGCTCTCCTCCATATGTTTCTGTCCTCCAGCAGGCTAACCCAGGCATTTCTGTCCTAACTATAGCCAAGGAGCAAGAGAATCAGCCAGTGTGGAGTTCCATCATGCTTGTTAATATCCCACTGAACAAACCAAATGACAATGTTGAGCCTGGTGGGCGGGCACTGCCCAGCTCCGTGCAAAGGGTATGAATCTAGGAAGGGATAAGGAGTTTGGCTCATCCTTCTCACAGTAGTAGCCTCAAGGAGAGTGGCTGTGAAGGAGGTGGCCTTTGAGCTGTGCCGTGTGTCCACCTTCCTAATCCAATCTGTGCACAAACTCCTGCCAGGGCTGAAAGGAAAAGGTTTAGGGAGGGAAAAAGCCTTAGGGTGGAGAGAAAGGTCTCTGCCTAGAAGGCAAAACACTGCTTCTCAAAACCTGATCCTATTTGTGGCATGGCTCAGAATTAAGGGAGGTCCCTTAACCTCTGTGGCCCTCCGTTTCCTTATCTGTTCCACCAGCACGAAGGACCCTCCCTGTTCTGCATACATCCCGGGATGTGGAGATGGCTAAGTGTGACTACGAGCACAGAAGTGCTTCGTAAGTGAAAAAAGCCATTCCAGCAACCGTGATTCAGTGCGATATTCTGGGAGGGATTGATTAAGGAGGCAGGAAAAGGAAAGCTCCGTCTCAGACAAACACAGATAGCCCGGTCCTCTGGAGGTGGGCCAGAAGGAGCCTCAGTCTCCTCAGGGACTACACTGATGGGAAGGAAGTCTGACATTTGCTGCTGGAGAATGTGGGTCGTTATGCATTACACGGGGTGATGTGCTTGGCTGACAAGACAGCCCTGGTGGCTTCCACTCCAGCATCCAACTTGTCCCTGTCCTCATAATCTGGGTCTCCAGAGCCCACGGGCCTGCTAATGCTGGACAGGAGTCAGAAAAATGAGGGGGCAGGAGTGAAGTGGGCATGGAGGCCTCCGGGTAACAGATGTGAGAGACCAGAACTGCTGGAGAAGTTGGGGTTCTGGGTGTGACGGGGTAACCTCCTTTCTGCTGCTCCCCTCCCCTCCCTTATCGACTCTGGTGTCAAGAGCTCAGAGACCTATTGGAAGCAGAATTCTTCCACCTGTGTATCCAGAACCCATGAAAACTTTAGAGCTGTGTACTAGGGGTTGCTTTGGAAATTGGGATTCCATTGGAAGGGTTCTAGACTTGAATGACCAAGTAAGGAGATACTGTCCAGATAGGAAACACTGTAATGAGTAACTACAAAATTTTATTCAGTGCACATTAGCTTAAGAAACACAGATATGTGTAAGTGTGTGTGGTTCTTTAGAATCAACGTTGTTGTTGTTGTTGTTTTGAATTTGGATTTCTCTGTGTAGCTCTGGCTGTCCTAGAACTTGTTCTGTAAACCAGGCTGGCCTCGAACTCATAGATCTCCCTGCCTCTGCCTCCCAAGTGCTAGGATTAAGGTATACACCAACACTGCCCAGGCTCTTGTGTGTGTGGTTCTTACTGGTAGTCTTTACTAAGACATTAGAGGACTGCCTCAGTTTACTGTTTGACCCAGAGGTTCAAATGGGTGCCATTAAGACATGTTTCCTCCCCTTTTCATCTTCTCTGACATCCACCCTGATGGATCATATCTCTGGTTATATTCAGTGACCCCAGACTTATGTCCTCCTTGCTTTCATAAAAAAGGTTGTTTCTTACCTGCCATTATTCATCACAGATCCCCCACGTTTCTATTTCCAATGAATGCACTGCTTGGTCAGATTGGGGCCATGCACTTTGTTCCTTTAGCTGGGTAGGATCCTTCCTGAGAACATAAAAATGGGGTGGGGAGAAGGTGCTTAGGATAAGTGAGCGGTCTATAGAACATGGGTGTGTGAACCACGGTCTATGGAACATGGGTGTGTGAACCATGGTCTATGGAACATGGCAGTGTGAGCCACGGTCTATAGAACATGGGTGTGTGAACCACGGTCTATAGAACATGGGTGTGTGAGCTATGTACAGCTGCTGAGGCTTAGCTGAGGACACATTGCAGGGAGGGGGAGAGCACTGCTGCCTCAGCCCTCCTTCAGTGGGCCTGAGTAGGGGCAATAGAAAGCAGCAAGCAGCCTCCCTCCCAGAATCCACAGAGGAGTCAGCAAGAATGGAGCTTGAAACAGGGAAGGAAATGAACTTAATTAGGCCTAAGCAAGCCATTTGTCTCCAGGAAGTGACATTCTGTTTTCCCTGGAAGTCCCCAGATTAAGTGGTTTTACAAAATGCCAAGGTGGAGGATAGATTTTTCAGTGTGGGGAGAAGAAAACAGTAAAGTCAACCCAATAACAGAAACGTTATTTGAGTACTCCCTAAGTGTCACGGCCCTGGGCCAGGTGCTATGGGGCGCTAGTCACGGCAGAATGAGGGGGGGGGTGAGGGGCAGGCAGAACAGGCCAAGGGAAGAGCCCTCTGAGCTGGCGTGGATATTGGGGCATGTTTGAAGGTAGGAAATCCTTTCTGAACAGAGAAAACAAGGAATACCTCATGGAGGTACCTGAGTAGATACCTGAGATGTTTTATGCACGCATGCACGTGTGTGCCTTCTGTGTCCTGGGCCCCAGGTCTCATCCGGCTGCAGGAGCTCATCATGGCCCCATCCAGGTACAACATTCGCCTGAAGATCCGCCAGCTCCCCATCGACTCGGATGACTCACGCCCCTTGCTCAAGGAGATGAAGCGGGGCCGGGAGTTCCGCATCATCTTTGATTGCAGCCACACCATGGCGGCCCAGATCCTCAAGCAGGTGGGTGAGCACTGTCCAAGCTGAGGGTGGGCGCCTGGCATAGCTCTACCTCCTCTCTCCCAGGTACAGAGCTTGATCTCGGGAAGCATCCTAGCTGTCTCTCTGGCTGCCTGCATGATGCTGGGGCCACTATGACTCTGTGCCTCATTGTACCAGCAGTATAATGGTTCTTTTACTCCCGTTGTGTTAACGATGTATAATCTGCCCCATGTCATGTCCTAGTATTCAGAGTGCCCCAGCATAAACACTGCCTCCTAGCCCACCCCACCAGGTTGCCTAGAGTCATGAGAACAGCCATGGTGGGGTGTGGGTGTGTATAGAGGTCCTCAGTTTCTCAGGACTGTCCCCAGATGCCTCTCTGCCTATCCCAGTGACTAATTCCACATAGCCACAGCACCTGCTCTCCAAACAATCAACGATGGCAGAAGAGAATGGTTCTCCAGCCAGGATGGTTCTCTGTTCCCAAACAGGACTCACGCTAGCGCGAAAGCTGAGCTCTGCTAGCCACTTAGGAAAGTAACGGCAGCCAGGCGGTGGTGGCACATGCCTTTAATTCCACTCAAGAGGCAGAGGCAGGCGGATCTCTGAGTTTGAAGCCAGCCTGATCTGTAAAGGATAGCCTGGGCTACAGAGAGAAACTGTGTTTCAGGAAGGGAGGGAGGGAAGGAGGGAGGGAGGGAGAGTGGGAGGGAGGGAGGGAGAGTGGGAGTGGGAGGGAAGGAGGGGGAGTGGGAGGGAGGGAGGGAGGAAGGAAGGAAGGAAGGAAGGAAGGAAGGAAGGAAGGAAGGAAGGAAGGAAGGAAGGAAGGAAGATAAGCATAAAAGGACCTACAGGCCACCACAGTGAAACCTCATACATTTGATCTGAACTTGTGTTTTATGTAAAAGGCCAGTAGTTATCCCTAAAAGTGTCCCAGGTGATTGGAGGAACTTTGACACATGATCAAGAGAAACACAAGAGTCAAAGACACAAGGTGATGTAGGTCTTTCAAGACGGGGCGGGGGGGGGGGGGGAACGGCTTGCCAAGCAGGGATTGGGACGTTTTCAAAACCCTGTGGGGCTCAAGCACCACCCTTCATTTGGAGTACCCATCCTGACTGGCAGCCTCCATATCTGTGCCCTGCAAAGGAAGTGGAAGCAAGAGGATCATGGTTCAAGGCCAGCCTGGGCTACAGAGTAAGTTCAATGCCAGTCTGGGCTGTATAGAGATACAGAGAGTATCTGGGTCCTAGGGATATTGCTCAATTGGTAGAGTACTTACTTAGAACACACAAGGCCTCAGGTTCAATTCCCCTGCACCACATAAGCCACATGTGGTGGTACATGATCTCAGCCATCAGGAGGTACAGAAAGGAGCATCAGAAATTCAATGTCATCTTCAGCCCTACTACAAGTTCAAGGCCAGCTTGGGAAACACGCTGCCCTGCCTAAGGTGGAAAATATCTTCCTACTGTCCTGCCCCTTCCCTTCCATGTTACATGAGGGAGTCCACATTCATAATCCCTCCTCAGACATCTCTGGGGGTGTCAGTGAGATGGGACAGAAGAGATGGGGGTTCTGGTGTTGGGCCTGGAGAGGCCTTAGGGTCCCTGTGTGGAATACCTGTGCAAAAGTCCTGTAACCTTCACTGTCCTGGGGCTTCCCCTCTTCCCTGCATGCGTGACAGAATGACAGTCATAGCATTGGTTACCAACCAGTCACTCAGCGGGTATCTGTCCCTCCTCATTGACCCTGGAGGCAGGGGGCTATTATTACAGCCTTTGACAGGTGAAGAGACCGAGGTTGAAGGGAAAGCAGCAGGCCTGAGGTCATCCAGCCAGGAATTCAGATTAGTCCCAGGTCTGTCTGCCTGCAAAACATCCAGAGTTACAGATGAGGACCCTTGACTGAGCTAACAGTGGGTTAAAGGAGGTTGAGGCCTTTCCTGGCTGCTGGCCTCCACCGAGCCCTCACAGCATGGATGAGGGTGCAGAATGCATGCAGCAGTTCAAGGTATATTTGACCCCATGACATTTTCCTCCAGAACCCTTGGTGGACCCTGCTTTCTGAGGAACTCTGTGGAAAAATACATGGCAGTCGTTAGTGTTATAGATTACAGGCTTCTAATAAAACACATAGGATACATCACCCAGAGACCTCGAGCGGCTGTGTACTAACAATCCCAGAGGAGCATGTGGTGTGTTGTGTGGCCTGATGGGATTAGGGAAGCATGGAGGCTTCATTGCTCCTGGGGGACGCTCACGCTAAGGACATCCCCCTCCAGCCTGGCTGACTGGGAGAGCCCCACCATGTAGAGTCAGGCTCTTGAGGAGGCTCAAGCTTCTGTCAGCATGTCTGAGTGACAGGCCCAGAGACACTGCCTGAAAATCCAGACAGCTAGGCATCTTCCCACTGCCCTGCCGAACTGGACACTCTGGGAGAACATGGCCCCAAGCCCCACACTGGAAACTTCCTCAGGTGATTTTGCTACTCACAACAGTGGGAACCTGCTGCTGTCTGCCAGCCAATTCATATATTCATTGTAAGGTCTCAGTGGACACCCTAGGCCTTAGCAGACAGCTTCATGCAACCTACAGTCTGTCCTGTGCCCCAGCTCCCCTGGCCCTGGTGAATGGAGGGCTGTTTAGAGGTCCGTGCCCCTGGCTAACGCTCTGCTTCCCCACAGGCCATGGCCATGGGCATGATGACTGAATACTACCACTTCATCTTCACCACTCTGGTAATGTACCGCCGGGTCCTGTGGGCAAGGGTGGTACCTCTGGGGATGAAGGCTACTTGAGCTGGGCCTGGGCCAGCCTACTGGGGACAGTTCTGTAGTTGGAGCAAACACAAGCCTTCTCAAGGCTGTAGATATTGATCCAAGTGAGACCACGATGACACCTCTGTGAACTGTTCACTTTTGAAAAGTCTTTGGAGCCAGAATAGAGAGCAACTTCTCTGCTGACTAGTATGGGGACCCTGGATAAGTCACCAGACCTCCCATGACTCAGTTTCTTCCTCTGCAAAATGGGCTTCTAACTCCTTGGGAGGCCTAGTAATGTGATCAGGCCCAGGGAAGAGAGCAGAGCTTGGCTGGTTTAGAGCAGGAATGAGTGGCTATTAGCACTCTTTAGACTGTCCCTAACCACATCTGTCAGAGGCCTCCCATCACACCTGGAATGGCCACCTTGGATCCTGCCCCATCCATTCTGAAGTCAGCCCCTTGCTGTCACTGGGGCCAGCTCACCTGCTGGCTCCAGATGGGTCCTGTCCAAACTCTGAGAACATTTAGGGCCATTTAAAGCCATTAGAATAATTAGTTGTGATCTGAGATCAGCAGAATCATGGTGTCCTGTGCCAAAGAGGGGACCTCTGCTGAGCTGCATGGCCTTGGAGCCAGCTGCAACCTCCCTCTCTGCCCTCCCTCATTCAGGGACCTGACCCCCCAGCCCTGCATCACTACAATCCTATAGAGCACCAGCCACCAGTCTTCACCCAGCATCTGGGCTAAGCTGGCAATTTCAAGATGGCTAGGACTAAGACTTTCCAGTCCATCTTCCTCTACGTGTCTGGCTCTGATACAGCTGACCTCTGACCTTGGGCAGACGGACATAGGGCACAGAACAAGGAGATGTTAAGAGTTGTAGGGCTGCCAGGAGTTGGTGGCTCACTCCTTTAATCCCAGCACTTGGGAGGCAGAGGCAGGCTGATCTCTGTGAGTTCGAGGCCAGCCTGGTCTACAGAGTGAGTTGCAGACCAGCCTCCAAAACAAAAGAAAAACCAAACAAACAAACAAAAAAAGAGTTGTAGGGCTGATAGCCGGTGGGAAGTTTGAGGCAGGCTTTCTAGAAAAAGCAGGTGTCTTGAGCTAGGCTTTGAAGGATCAATAGGAGCTCACTGACAGGTGGGGGAGAGAGGAATGGTATTCTACCCAGAAGGAACAGCGTGTACAAAGGCCAAGAGGCAGGCTAGCTCTCCAGTGATGTGTTGGAGTTGGCTCACACTGGAATTGGAGAATCAGTTTTGTTCTCACAGCTCCGTGCTGTATTCTTAGCCTGCAGTCAACCCTGTGAGCACTTATACCACAGCAGTGAGCCACTGCTGCCAGCGAGAATTTCTCTCCAGCATGAGTAGTTACCGGCACGTCCTGATTGTCACACACCCTCCATTCACAACACCCAGTGACCATGTAGTCAGTGCTCAGAGCCCATTCTGCTAGCTGTAAACCAGACCTTGGCACCTGGTGAAAACACTGTGGGGGAGACAGGAACCCTGAGAACTGAGAACGGAGACTGGGCACCTTCTCCATAAGGGCTCACCTTACCCCAGCTTCTGTCTGTCATTCCGCATCCTAGAAAGTCACCGGGAGCTTAGGGCTAGGTGCTCAGTCCTTGGCAGCATTCCAGACCAAGACTAAAGATGGCAGCACCCTGGCTCCAGTGTCCTTTGAAGTGATGCCATTTTCCATGGAGGTCAAGATCAAAGGTTTCGGAAAAAGCATTCTAGCACCCCAGACTTCCCTCCAGTCCCGTGCAGTGTGCATTTACCCTAAACCTTGCTTCCTTGACGCAGCTGGTCACCTTTTCTTTTACCCTTCCACAAATGCTAAGACCTCCGGCTCTGAGCTGGGAGGACGAACAGAGATGGTTCCTCCTTACACAGAGCTCACACACAAGCCCCGAAACTTCCTCTGTGAGCAAGGCTGCCTACTTGTAGTGCCCACAGAGTGCCTGGCCCACAGCAGGTGCTGTGTGATGCCTGAGTAGGAGAGAGTGGGTGAATGACTGCCATACAAATGAGACCGTAATCAGCGTGATCAGTACTCAGCATCCCTTGCAGTTAAGACCATGGACTCTGGTGTGTCTGATTGGGATGAAGATACTTCATTGTTGGGGGAGGTGGCTCAGGAGTTAAGAGCACTTGCTGCTCAAGCATGGGAACTGAGTTCAAATATCCAGAGCCACCTTAAAAGGCCAAGTTTGGCTGTGCACACTTAAAACCATGGCAGTGGCTGTCTCGGGTAGGTCCAGAAGGCTTCTGGGGCTTCCTGGACTCCAGCCTGGTTCCAAGTTCAGTGAGAGACCCTGTTTCAAAGGGGTGAGTGAGAGAGCAGACCACCCAACGTCTTCTGCTGGTCTCTGCACAGGCATGTGTACACACTATATACATACCACTCACACACACACACACACACACACACACACACACACACACACACACCACCACCACCACCACCACCACCACCACCACCACCACCACCACCACAAAAAAGAGCTCACTTCCTTAGTCAATGTACCTCCTTCTCTGTGCCTCATGCCTGTATCTAAAACAGTGAGGATGGCAGTGGTACTTGTCAGGGTCAGTGTTGAAAGCATCCACAGCGGTGTAGTGCTAGAACAATGCCTGGCACTTCCTTAGCATAGTGCGTGTCAAATAAACTCACTAAGCACCTCCTGCTTTTGCTTCCTGTGTGTCCTCCACCCTCAAAACAAACGTCCATGGGAGCTGTGACTCTCCGGTTTCCCCCACAAAATGGAAACTGAGGTGACCCAGAAGCAAACAGACAAGAGAGTCCCCCGGCACAGCTGCTTCCAAACCCTCTGCCCACAACTGTCGCTGCAGTGTCCCCAGCCTTCTCTAGCAGGTAGACTCTTCGTGATGCCTGGCCATAATGGTCCAGCATGGTGATTGACACTAATGGGGTAAACAGAGCCTTCATGTATCCCACACTTACATCCTTTGCCTACATCCTCTGATTTTTCCTTCAAGGCCACAAGGGGAGAATGTGCTTTCTGCCCAGAGTCTCACAACAGATCAATGATACTGGCTTAGGCTCGCACTCCGACTCTTGCCCATGGCTGCTTCGCGGCACTGTTCTTCTCCCCCACCCCAGCCCCTTTCTGAGGCATAGGAGACCAGGCTCTTCCAGGAAGATGTGGTCATCAGAGTGCAGACACCTGTATGGTGGATTGTGTATCGGGTGTCTCCCATGGCAATCCCAGTAGCCTCCATGTGTCAGGGCATCCAGCATGTCTCCCTCAGCCCTCTTCCCTGGTCGCAGCCTGTTGCTAGCTTCAGCCCTGTTGGCTCCCGGCTCTACCTCGTGACTCTCCCCTTTCATGCCCATTGGTCAGTGGTGGCTATATTGGGAAGGGGAGTGGCATTTGGCATTCATCTTTGGAAATGCGCATCATCAACCCTTCCCCTCAAAACATCTCTCCAAAGTCGCTTCTCCCATGCAGAAGACGTTTTAATTACCCTAGCTGCCATTATCGGTGTCAGCCAGCTTTGAGCCATTCCCAGATAACCCTGTGCTAATCAGCCCCAGCTGAGCCCCTGGTGCATGTCATGTGTAGGTAAGAGCCTGGAGGTGAAAAAAAGAATTATAATAAATTAATAGATAAGCAATCACAATTAATGCCACTTCCCGGCAATAACAGTTACATCATGGGAAAGATATTTTCATCTGTCGTTCCTTGAGGCCATGTTTTCCGAGCATCGGCTTCTCCCCATTCAGACCCATGGGGTGCTAATGAATTAGTCTATTATGTTATGCTGAATGTTTCTAAAAGGTCCCCAGTCGACACTGAATTCAGTGTGTCAACATTTGGCATCGGAAATGCATCTTTTTGCCAAGCTGCAAAGTTGCCCACAGTTCACCGTGTTGAGCACTTAGGGTCTTGGCCCAGGGCAGTTTGAACAAAAAAACAGTAACAGGGACTGGACAAAGAGGCCCCTTCACCAGCTCCTCGATGTCACTGCCCTCATGTCACAGGGATGGGGTACTCAGCGTCCCTAGCCCTAGGAACATGGGAAAGCCCAGACCAGAGAATGACATGAAGAGAAGTGGTTCCAACCTTGCCACCCATTAGAACCTGTTATGATTTCAACCAAGAATGTCCCTGGCCAGCTCGGCTCATGCTTTGGATATTTGTTCCATAGCTGGGGACAGTATTTTTTTTGTAGGCTCTAGGACCCTTTTTCAGGAGGTGGGGCCAACTGCTATAAATAGATACTTCAAGGTCATGCCCACCCCCTGGTTCCTGCCATGCTCTCTGCTTCGGGGTCTACCTTGGTGTGAGCAGTTGATGATACACACTCCCACCTCTGTGGTGTCAACTGCTTTTCCATCCATTCCCCTGACTCTGATGGAATGGAACTGCCTGGAACCATGAGTTGAATAGCCCTTGAACTGTTCTGTCAGGGATGTTGTCACAGCTATGGAAACAAACAAACAAACAAAACAAAAGCAACTAGCAAGCCTTCCCCAGCTGTGACTGTCTTGTCAGATTAAATGCTGCAGCTAGGGTCTGTCCAGGGCAGTGTCACTAGCACACAAGCCTTCCTACCAAAGCAGAAACACCATCCTTCACACAGAATCAAGTCGACTTCTGGGCCCCGGGATGGTAAACGGAGTCAGGGGCCCTGAGGAGGCTACTGCCTTAGCATCTGTCACATCTTAGACATCAGGTCAGCGTTGGAGCTGAGAAGAGGCTGAACCCCATACTGAGAAGGGTGAGAATAGAAACCATTGGTTCATGCTCCCCAAGCTCAGCTCCAACCCCAAGCTCGCATATACCACCACAAAGCAAAATCTGCCTAGCTCTCCAGACCTTTCTGGAACCGTCTGTCAGGCCCAGATCTCAAAGCAAACACACATTAGTGGCTCACCTTTCTTCCCAGGCCATTTACCAAGCTACTCCCAACTTATATCGTCTTAGAGAGCCTCCTCCAAGAGGAATGTAAACATTTAGACACCCAGGGAGTTATGAACCAGGCTGACCCTTCTTTCCACATCCAGGGTAAGAATGCTCAAGAGCTCAAGGGCTTGTAGAGATGTCAAGTGCCAGACCTTATTGGTTGTTATCTGCTAGGGTGAATGCCTGAAAACCCCCAGGATCAGAGCTGAATCTCTGATAGACCTTGTTGCATGTAGAGGAACAATCAGATGAGGCTTCCAGGAAGCGGTGATGCTTCTCTGAGTCTAAGAGAGCAACCCACAGACACTTTGAGCTCCACCTGTTAAGAACAGGGGTATCTACAAACCCATCTGACTTAGGATGAGAAGCTAGAAGGGAAGGTAAGACAAGGTAGAGGTCCCTCAGTCTTCCTGGAGTGAAAACTGGGGATGGGTACAGGAAAACAGGACACAGGGGTAGTTCCTGATCTATGCTAAGGAGTTCGAACTATTTTTTTAGCAGGAATGTGACAGAATGCCATAGCCTATGGGAGCCACAAATGAGTTTCTCTAGCTCACAGTTAAGTGGCCTGGGAACATGGTGCTGGCCTCTGGTGAGAACCGTTAGGCTTCATCATAGCATGGTGTACAAGCCATTGAACATGGGACCAGGAAGTTGGCCGAACTCCTTTAGAGGCCTTCCTCTCCTGAGTAACACACTGCCTTTGGAAGTGTTGCTGAGGGCAGAGTCCTTGTGGCTTAATTACCTCTTCTGCATGTCTCCCCTCCCCAGGGCTATTTCCTTACCCATAAAATAAGAAAGGAAGTTGCTATGAAAGTAAAAATGGCGTGATGGTCCCCACACTCACTCTCTATTGAGATTGGTACCATTTAGACACCCTCTGGCCATCTTAGTGTGGACTCCCTTCCCTACAGCCTCCTGCTCTTATCCAGCTTCCTCCCTACCCTAAACACTGGCCTGGAAGCAGGGCCATGGAGTGAGCTGTCCCATGGTATTCATAGTATTCACAGGGGATGGCTCCGGGACCCCGTTGGATAGTAACTTCTGTAGATGCCTGTCCTAGTCAGGGTTTCTATTGCTGCGATGAAACACGCTGGCCAAAAGCAACTTGGGGAGAAAAGGGATCGTTTCAGTTACGCTTCCACATCCAGTCTGTTGTAATTTTTTTAAAAAGCAGCTCCACAACACAGTTCAAACGGAAGGGATTTTCATTAAGGGAAAGGGATCATAAAAAGGGGAAAGGCGAACAAGGAAGGCCTCTGGGGATAGGAGCAGCAGGAGAGAGGAAGGAGGCAGAAAGAGAGAGACAGAGACAGAGAAAGGGAGAGACAGAAAGAGAGAGGCGGATGGGAGGTGGGCAGGGCCCTTTGAAAAGGAACATAGTGAATGTGCACAGGTGATGCTCTTAGTGGCTGCAGCTGAGGATGTATCCTATCAGAACCCCAAGGACAGGCCATACGGATGCCCAAATACTAACACAGTCTATTACTGAAAGAAGTCAGGGCAAGAATTCAAGCTGGGCAGGAACCTGGAGGTAGGAGCTGATGCAGAGGCCTTGGAGGGCTGCTGCTTCCTGGCTTGCTCTCTTGTGACTTGCTCAGCCTGCTTTCTTATAGAACCCAGGACCACCTGCCAAAGGGTGGCTCCACCTACTGTGGGCCGGGTCCTCCCACATCAATCATCAATCCTGACAATACCCCCACAGAGTTGCCAGTCTTGTGGAGGCATTTTCTCAATTGTAGCTCTTTCTTCTCAGATAATTCTAGCTTGTGTCAAGTTGACATTAAATAGCCCAGCACAGTCCTCAAGTCTCTTATATACAATGGCATATTTACATATTATTAATATGTGCTCTCGTCTCCCATAAGTCAACTCTAGATAACTTACAGTACCCAATACAATGTAAATGCTGTATGGTTTGTGACATTGTTAGGGAATTGTGGAGAGAAAGTTTGCATGTGTAGTATAGATGGGCAATTAAATTACACACACACACACACACACACACACACACACACACGTGCGTGCGGTTGCATTCACAGATACACAGACTTGGGGGGGGCTGGTTGTGTTTGTTTGGGAAGGGTAAGATGAGACTTTCTTGCCTGGGCTCCAAGCCCTCCTATTCTCTGCTAAGGAGACATGAATGCACACAGTGCCTTCCAGAAAGGGTCCGCCTGGGAATGCAGGAGGAGCAGGAGTTCAGCCCTGGGAAGGGGTGTCTCACAGGCCACGGGACTCTCAGGCATTGTGTGAGATCTGCTCTATGGGCTCCAGCCTGGGTCCCTTTTATTATCTGAGGTTGGCACTGGGGTGGGGGTGGAGGTGGGGGTGGGCTTCAGGTACAAAGTGGAAGGGAAACAAGTAACTATAGACAAGGGACTCAGTTTCCCCAGTCCTGGCTTGCAGCCAGTCTACATTATCCAAATTTTAGTTTTGAAAATGAAAACATTAGTCTAAAGTAAGTGTAGATTTGGACGTGTTTCTAGGTCTGGAGGGAACAGTCCGGGGGTGAAGCAGAGCATTTGAGGAATGGGGTGAGTAGCGGGGCTTTAAGGGGGAAGGGACACAGAGTAAAACAGCCGGGTTACATACAAAATAGATTAATCTCCTGCAAAGCAATAAAACCACAGCCTTGGGGATGACCTTTTGTGCCAGACAGAAATCTCATGTTCAGTGGAAGTTTGGGCTTTAACTAGCATTTACAGCAGTTCCTAAACCAGCGGAGATAGGGAGCGCCCGTGATCTGTAAACAGCCATTCCATGTATTGAAAGCACATGACAACTTTTGTCTTGTGTCCCCTTGAGTTTGGAGGCATTTTGAACCTGTGGCTCTCTGCTTGGCTCCTGTGAAGGCTAGCTACCCCACCACATGATGTCTTCTCTGCCAAGGGGCAGCTGGCTATTCCCACCACCCTACCTCTTGGCTCGTTGTTTCTCCAGCCCATTGGCCTGAGCTGGGGCTGCCAGAGAGGCCAAGACTGGTTGGGCTTTATTTAACGTCCTGTTCTCCCTGGCTGTCAGCCAAGGCCTGCCCATCTACCGGGCTGCATGGGACCTGACCTGTTCCTAGAAGGCAGGTTGCAAAGGCCCTGCCTGTGGCTTCCAGAAGAGTCAGGGAAGAGGGAGTGGATTCTTTGGTACTCATTTGGACCCCTCTGTAAGGGGGGAAAAAAAACCTCTGGCCCTTCTGCTTCGTTCAGTGTCACTTGGAGATGCCCAGGTCCAGCACCCTTCATCCTCCCTAAGTGAGAGGGTTCTTCTGGGTCCTATAATGGGGAGTGAGCCCCATTTTGTAGACGAAGAAACATGATGATGGCTCCCATAGTCAGCATGTGAGGTCAGTATCAGGAGATCCAAGGGGTGGACCCTGCGTTCAGTTCTCCAGTGGGTAATCCAGTCACCGTCCACGCATAGGGCTCTACGGGGAGCCACAGCTCAGGCCCAGGGGTGCTCAGGTCTGGTGGGTGATGGCAAGTGAGGGAGGGGAACTGGGCCAGCCCTTAACCACATCAAGCTCTCTCTCTTCAGGATCTCTACGCACTAGACCTGGAACCCTATCGCTACTCAGGGGTGAACCTGACTGGGTTCCGCATACTCAATGTGGACAACCCCCATGTCTCAGCCATTGTGGAAAAGTGGTCCATGGAGCGGCTACAGGCGGCTCCCCGGGCAGAATCTGGCCTGTTGGATGGAGTGATGATGGTACGGTGAGCAGGTGGATAGGTGGGCCCCAGGAGCTCCCCTCTCTCCCTCCTTCCTTCCTTCTTGACCCTCTTTCCTGTCTTCCTTTCCTCCTTCCTTCCTTCCTTCCTTCCTCCCATTTCCCCATACAACACTTCTTTTTGTAAGATCTGTCATATATCAGCCAGAGCCCCCAGGACAGTAGTCCCACCCCAAGGGCCGCCTCTGATGGAGCACAGAACGGCTAAAACTGGATTACGTAAAAAGAGCTAAAGGTGTGGGCACTTAGGTTGTGGCTGGCGGGTGCGAGGCATAAGACATAAGGAGTGGGTGGGATTCAGGAATGAGTTTGCAGAGGGTCTAGAGATAGAGAGCCTGGGCTGCAGAAAGACATAAGGAGTGGGTGGGATTCGGGAATGAGTTCCCAGAGGGTCTAGAGATAGAGAGCCTGGGCTGCAGAAAGAGGGTGGCACTGAGGTATTCACACTCACAGGACCACTGAGGTAAAAGGACAGGGCTCCCTCCGGGCCTACGGGCCTGTGTCCCCCTCCCCCAGGACACCATGCTCTTGTAGTGGGAGGGGGCAGGCGGGGCAGGAGCATGCCACAGCCGCAGCCCTCAGGCAGGCCCCTGCCCTCCGCAGACTGACGCAGCCCTGCTCTACGATGCTGTCCATATCGTGTCTGTGTGCTACCAGCGAGCCCCTCAGATGACCGTGAACTCCCTGCAGTGCCATCGGCACAAGGCCTGGCGCTTTGGTGGCCGCTTTATGAACTTCATCAAGGAGGTGAGTCCCATGCCCCTCCAGGGATGCCCCCCTTGCGGCCATCAATGCTCTGAAGTAGCAGAGAGCAGGAGTGCTCGGGTGTGAGAGTCAGAGAGCAGTGGTTCCTGTTACATACGACTTGGGCGGGTCACGTCACATCTCTGAGCCTCAGTTTACCCAGTCTCAAAGGGGATTGAGAAGTCCAGGTGATCAAAGGGTCCTCTCTCTGTCACTGTCCTTGCTGCTGTCATTCTGGATACAAGGCTTATGGCTCCCATCTACAGACAAATACACTAAGTCCAGGCCTCACATGCTGGTGTGTTGCCGCTGGCCAAGTAGCTTGGTGGGGTGACCACCTCTCTGATCCTTAGTTCAAAATTGTTGGGAAGATGGAATAAAACCCAGGGTCTGACCAGCGTCCAGTCTGTTTCTAGAAAGAAGAAAAGGCTATGATGGACAGGATCTAGGTAGGGCTGTCCTGGTCTAGAGTGCGTGGATGTGTGGAGCATAACCAACACCAAGAAGCTCAGATGAAGCGCTCTAGGGAAGTCCAGATTCTTCCATTGGCTGAAGGCTGGTCTCAGAGCTGTGCCCCACCTGACACAGCAGGCAGGTGTGACAGCCCTGATCGCTTAGTCATCATCATCTGTAGTTACTATAACTTCCTTTTGGGTAATGGGTTCCAGCCAGATGGTCTGCAGCCCACACTGCTTCAGGGACCCACCTCTTCAACCACTGCCCCTTGGAAAACATGCGGCTCAGCCATGAGTGCCCAAAGGGAGCAGATTCCCCACTGCCCAGCCTGGAAAGAGAGGTCCCGTTCCCCCTCCAGGCTCTCCTACCCAGGCACTCCCGTCCCTTACAGAACTCCTGTTCTCCTTAGGGCCCTGGGGGCCAGGCAAGAGCAGCCACAAAATGCTCATGGTCTATAACTGGCCACTTCCAGAACCCAGGTACCCTGCAGAGTCCAGTCTTCCCTTTGTCCGTTTCCAAGTTGCCCATCTCCCTGTCCGACTGCGTGACAGTAAATCATTTTAAAGACTTGGCATTTCCGAGAGTAGCTGGAAAATACCAGGCCGGAGTTCAGAGCGTGTGAAGCATCTTTCATTTAGCAAGGCCTGAGCTACTGCTAGAGGGGGCGGGTGGGCTGGGAAATGTCACGGGGAGGAGCTGCCCGTGGCTCCCTGCCCTGCCCCTGCCCACCCGCCCACAGACAGGCCGCACCTGCTGGCATTTAATTCCTCTGGCACTGACAGGGAGGAAGGCCTCCTCTGTAGGAGCAAGGCAGCTGAAGACACCTGCTGAGATTTCCCTGGGGGCCAGCAGATAGCCAGAGGGTGTGGGCTGCAACAGAGAGGAAGCCAGAGGGAAGGGGGAGCCAGCCTGAGGGAAGCCTGGCCTCCCTGTGAAGTCATAAACAGAACTGTTCACCTTCTCTGATGTGGCTTTTAATCTCTGTCTTCTTGGCTCCCAGCTTCCCAGCCCCTCCCCCCCATGCCTCAGTTTTTCTGAGCCCTGCTCTCTCACTGAACCTGGTGTTCACAGATTAGGTGTGCTAGCTGACCAGTACGCCCTGGTGATCCATCCCACCCACACCCAGTGCTAGGGTTACTGACGCCTGCAACCACACCTGCCATTTTTATGTGAGCACTAGGGATCCGACTCAATACCTCAGGCTTCTGTGTCAGGCATTTTACTAATTGAACTATCTCCTCAGTGCCTCAGTCCATCTTTGAACCTCAGTATTCACATCTGGGAAATGAAGACAATGATGAGCCTGCTTCACAGGGTTACATTGGAAGTTTAGTGGGCTCCCTAAGGGTGGGATTGTAACTCTCTGCTATAAGTTTCCTCTGTGAGCCTGGCCTTGTCCAAAGTTCTGCTCTTACTCCATTGAGGACCAGCTACATTCCCAGGAGTCCCTGGGGCTCCAGAATCCACAAAAGAACATGCTAACCCATAACAGTCATCATGATCATACACACAGGTGTAGTACTGAACACTTTACCACTACTTTAAGAACCTGCACACACCTTTAATCCTAGCACTCAGAAGTCAGAGGCAGGCGGTTCTCTGTGAGTTTGAGACCAGACTGGTTTACAGAGTGAGTTCCAGGACAGCCTCCAAAACAATACAGAGAAACCCTGTCTCGAAAAAACAAACCAAACAAACAAACAAAAAAGAACCTTCACACAAGTGGGTTATTATATAGATCTAGCCTCTTTTGTTCTGTAGCCTTCTGGGGCTCCAGGATGTTGCCTGAATTAGGACACCTTTTGTCCATCCACTGTTTTTTTTCAGACGAGGGCTTGAGACAGAATCTCAGTAAGTAACTGAGGCTGTCTGGAATTCACAATCCTCCTGCCCCTAACTCAGCTACCATCTACCATTATTTGTAAAAGTCTACAGGGACTCCGAGCTGCCCCAGAGCAGGGAGACACTCTAGGTCTTTAGGTAGGATTCAAATATAAGCTTCTGGGGCCCAGGAACTCGAGACGTGGTGACCATGTGATGGGGGCTGATGCTCATTCCAGGAAGAGGCCAGGAGCCTGGCTCAGAATAAAGGGTGAGCAGGAACCTGTTATACCCAAACCAGTGCTCAGCCAGATTTCCAGAGTTCAGACCTCCTGCTGTCCACACCTCTCCTCTAGATAGCTCATTCCTCCACTCGATAGCCTGCTGAGGCCCCCACCACCACACACTGGCTGTTTCCTTGGACCCCACGATGGATGGTGGATCTTCTCCTCCCAGATTCAGAAAGCTAACTGTAACACACCCACCAGCATCAGCCCCAAGGAGAAGGAAGAGAGAAGGGGTCTAAACCAAGCGGTGAGGGGTGGGGTCTAGCTTGGCAAGGTGTGGGGTTCCCAATACCCTCTCCCTCCAGGCCTGTTTCCCCATCTGTAACATGGGACTCATGATCCCTACCGGGCCAGCTCCCAAGGCTACTGGGAAGTTGAATGAAACCAACAGTGGGGTCGTGTCTTGTGGCATCACCTCTCCGCCTAGGGCCGTGACTCCATCATACCAGTGAAGGGCCTGTTACGTAAGCATGAGAATCAAAGTTGGAGTCCCCAGCACCTACATATAAATCTGGGCACAGTATAGATCTATAATGCCAGTGTTGGGAAGGCAAGCAAATGAGCACATAGAACTTACTGGCCTGCCATCCTAGCTGGTCAGTGAGAGACTGTCTCACGATACAAGATGGAAGGGCTGGAGACATGGCTCTGCAGGTAAAACCCCTTTCTGTGCCATCGTAAAAACCCGAGTTCAAATCCAGCACTCACTTAAAATCTAGGCATGGCTGCACATGCCTGTAGCCCAGACATTAAGGAGCAGGGAGAGGTCTATCCCAGAGGCTTGTTGATCAGCTACCCTAGACAAGGGGGCAAGCTTCGGGCTCAGTGGGAAATCCTATCTAAAGAGAATAAGGTGGAGCACGACAAAGAAAGACAATACTCGTCTCCACATGACCATGGGTACCCACACATGTATATGCAACACACTTGTTTATATTATTATTGCTATTTTATTTTAAATAAGAGGGAGAGTGACATGACTGAGGAGGACATTCAACATTGACTTCACATATCTGCATACACATACATGCATACACATGCACATACACACAGGCACATATACACATACACACAGGCACATATACATGTACAAACACACAAAAACGTACACCACACACCCTTGTGTACACAAAGAATAGTTACTCTGGGACCCCAGGAAAGAGACAGTGTTTCACAATCCAACACTGGCAAATCTGAAGGTAGCAGGACTCCCCATAGACAGGTAGGAATGGGTGTGGTCTAGTCACCCATTCACAAGCACAGACCATGGCTAGACAGGCCCACCCTGACCTAGAAGACAGTCTGCATTAAGTTACACATGCCTCTGCCTGCATTAGTGACAACAGAATGACAGAGGCTGCCATTTATCCAGGGCTTGTGTTAGACCAGGCTCTTCTCTCTATTGTTTATTTCACTCTCGAACTTTGGAAGGATGGAAACCAGACTGGTTCCATTTTATAGCCAAGGAAGCTGAGGCAGAGAGTACTCTAGGTCACAGAGTTAGTGGAGTTGAGCCCAGAACTTGGACCGCAGAGTTCTTACTTGTGGCATGGAGCTGCAGCAGCAGGCTGAGGGGCTTTGTCCAGCTCCTTCCCTCTCTGGGGGCAATGCTCCCCGGCCATGGCTTTGTAAACAGAGCCCCCTGGGCCTGTGGGCATTGCTATCTCTGGGTGGGTCTCATGTGCTCCAGCTCCCCTCACCTGCTTCCCTGGCCGTCTCCAGGGATCTGACACGGGCTCCCCCTTCCCAGGGCTTCGAGGCGGGGGCTCATTTGAGCGCATCCGAGATCGATGTTGTACACGAGAAGGGGCAGATGTAGAGCTGGCTAAAGAGCGTAATAGAATTTATGGAAATCGCTGGCTCGCACCACAGCCCGAGCAATGATGGAGGTGATTATTAATTAATCATGGTCTTGGGGGAACAGTATCAGTGCAAGGAGTAATTAAAATGAAGCATTGTACAGTTGTACCGAATGATGATTTATGAGCCCGAGGAATTGCCGCTCTGCCCTCTCCCCTCCGCAGGCTCAATGGGAAGGATTAACTGGACGGATTGTTTTCAACAAAACCAGTGGCTTGCGGACTGATTTTGATCTGGACATCATCAGCCTGAAAGAGGATGGCCTGGAGAAGGTGTGTGGGCCCTGGAGAAGGCTCAGTAGAGGACCAGGGATGTTGGAAGTGCCTTCTACAAGTTCCAGGCAGAGGGGCAAGAGCCACTGCAGGCATCCCCTTGAGATTCAGCCGACCCAGCATGGCCTCTGGGCTAGAGGAGCTGTGGGATAGAGGAGACCCTAGGGTCCTGTTACACTTGAGGGTGTCAAGTTCAGTGACCAAGCTAGAACAGACAACTGTGCCATCACTCTGTGAGCTAGGCTTGTCAGGAAAACACAATCAAAGACTTGTGACACAAACTGACTGTCTCTAAGACCCTGCAGGGCCGGGTCAGCAATAAGGACATACATATTCTTAAGTTAAACTTTGTAGCCTCCACAGAGTGACTGACTTAGGATAGTAAGCTCACAGTCCTTGGAGGCATTTAAGCAAATATGGAGAGATTGCTTGTTTGGAAGACTGAGAAAATCCTTACCTCAAATAGATGTTGAAATCTTTGGGATCTGGGCACCCCCCAATTACAGCTTCTCACACCACTGATGCCAGCATTTGGACTTGGGGGCCTCTCATCTGACCAGCATGGAAATATTCTAATGAGGCTTTCTCCAGTCCCGAAGAGCCTTCGGTGTGTGCTGTTAGAGGCAGGCCGTTCCAGGAAGGGGCTTTCACCTGTGGTCCCAGTTTTCAGCATCCGGAGGAACCAGCACCTCAGCCACACCCATCCCACTGCAGCTGGTCCCTGAGAGCCACTTGAGTTCCCCTCCAACCCTGAGATATGGCATTTATAAGATATGGAGAGCTGTTCCCAGGAGGCTAGCAGGGCCTTCAGAGTAGACTCCCACCTCCCGTCCTGTATGCGTGGTTCAGCCTCACCCAAGGCTTTGTAATACCCTTCCCTGCTTCCCGCCTCCCACTCTCATCCATTCTGAATGTGCTAGCAGATGGAGCTTCACTAGGCCCAGCTCTGCCCTGCTGATGGCTCCCAATTCCAAGTCAGTATGCTGTAGCCCTTCACTGGGGCCTTTTAGACTCTGAGAATTTCCTTGGTTGCCCAGTCCAGCCTCTTCTGCTCCCTGAATTGCACCACAGTTGATTCAGGTTCCCATCCTCCAAAGCCTCTGAGCGTGACCCCATCCCAGTGCCCTGGCTGTAAATGTGACATCTGTCCTACCAGTCATGGCCATGGCTCTCTGATCCTCTCCTGAGTCCTCCCATTCACTGTATAGGGAGGGGTGGCCAGGAATCCTCACAGTTCATCAACAACTACTTCATGCCATGTGTGGCATTAATTCCCAAGGACAGGGACTGGGGCCTTCATTCCTAAGATCACCCGAGGCCCACGCTTCCAGCCCCAGGCGCAGTCCACGAGTTCCCGGCAGTCTTTGTCTAAGCTCCCCAGTGCTGGGGAACAGCCTTCCTCCTGGGCAGTGGCGCAGCTGACGTGGCACTCACAGGTAGCAGTCCTAGCTTCGCTTTCTCGGCCACTTGTCTCTAGAGACAGCGTCAGATTCTAGGACTAGCAGATAGATGGCACACGTGCCGTCGCTTTCCGCTCCTGTGCCCGTGGCAGGCATCAGTAATTGATCACTGGAGCACTCTTGCATCTGAGTCCACGCTGCAGCATCTATCTCCCAACAGCCCTCCAGGCAGCTGGTACAAATTGACCGTAGCTAATACTCAAGGAAAACTCTATTATCCCTGGATGGAGGTTGGCCTGCAGGGTGCCCACCAGAGGCTCCCAGTCGTAGCCACCTGGGCCTGTAAGCTGACAGCCTCTTCACTCCCGTTCTTTCATTCACACCATGGCTGGCATCTGTCGGGGCTTGGAAGAAAGAGCTTGCTGGCCTGAAGCTCCCTGCTGCTCACCCACCTCTGGACAGATGTTTGCTGAGTGCCTCCTGTACCTACTAGCGCTCTTTCTCAGCACCCAGCCCTCTGTTCAGCATCCCCACACTGAGCCTGGCCCACCGTCGAGAAGAACCTCTCCACTCCCGTCTGCCCATCTCCACTCCTCGTGGCCCCAGTGGTCCACACAGGCAGAGATCATGCTGAGTCCCCGTCACAGCCACAGCCTCTCATTGCCTCTCATGTTTGCTAAGCTGGGTCAGAGCTGATCCAGCTAGCTCCAGCCGGGTGGCTTTGGGAGGATTAAGGCAGAATTACCCAAGCATAATTACGTATCTTCCTGCTATCTGTTGTGCACAGCTCTCTGAGTGGGATGTTTGCTGTTGGCCTCTGTTTAATTGATTAGGTTTTCTGAGTACCCCCAACTGGGCCAAGGACAGAGTGGGCGTGCTGATGTCTTCCCTGAGAGAGGAGCCAAGATGAAGCCCAGCTGGGAAGTGCGCTCAGCGTGCACCTGCAAGAGGCCCAGGGCTATAGAGTGACTTATAAAAAATGTACTGCATTTATTTATTCATTGTATGTGCATGTATGGAATCATGCCACTGTGCCCCTGTGAGGACCAGAGGACAACTTTCAGGAGTCAGTTCTCTCTACGATGTAGGTCCTAGAGGTCAAACTCAGGTCATCAGGCTTGGCAGCACATGCCTGAACCATCTCTTCATCCTGGGATGACTTTTACACCCTGCCTCCCCTTCCTTGACTTTAGTGTCTGACTTTATATTGGTAAGGATGCTGTAAGGAGTTTCCCATGGCAACCAGGGTATATGCCCATTTTAGAGGGGAAACCGCAAAGCAAACTCTCTTAGTGCAGTTCTCAGGGCTTACATTGTCACCCCAAACAGCTCCCAAGGTTAGCCTGCTGCCTGTTCACCCACAGTTCCTCCTCCCTTCGTCCACATGTGGAACCCTTCTCCCTCATCCCAGCGGGATCATCGCCTTCATTCCAGGATGAGCTGCGCTTCTCAGGTGTCTGGACCTGGAAGAGACCCATTGAGTAAGCGGCTGTGTGCCCAGTGTTTTATCAAGAGGTAGCCCTGGACCCTCACCCTTCGATCCCTACTGGGTATCTACTGCAGGGTCTTCCCAGATCCCTGCAGCTCCTCTGCATTTCTTCTTCAGCTGAGACTTGGTTGGCAAGAGGAGAAGAAAAAATCCACACCTTGAAGTCTCCTTAGAGGAGGAAGGCCAGCAGGGTTGTCATTAGAATTGTTAACTCAAAATACACAGTTACATGGCCACAGAAAAGGCTGTGATGTCTGAAAGCAGATGACCTTGTTGCTGTGGAGAAAGGAAGGACTCAGCACCTTTTTTTGTCTGTCCATCCAGGTTGGGGTGTGGAGTCCAGCTGATGGCCTCAACATCACTGAGGTTGCCAAAGGCCGAGGTCCTAATGTCACTGACTCTCTGACCAACAGATCTCTCATTGTCACCACTGTGCTGGTAAGAGCCTCAGGCCCTGCTGGAAGAGCCGTCTGACCTAGAAGTGGGCTGGCCATCTGACCTGGGAGACCCCTCGACCCCCCACCTGTCACATCTTGAGTACCCCTTAGAAGGCTCCCAGGAGACAGTAGCAAAGTGGATCACAAGAAAATAGAAACTTCTGGGAAGGTTCAGAAAGCTCTCAGAGGGAGGCTGGAACCCGGGACCCCTCCCCATCCCCCCGAGAGAAACCCGTGTTGCCATCTCCCCTACCTGCACATCAGAGCCTCTGCTTTCTCAGTAGGTTCACAGAAGAGTGGCTGCTCATCACAGCCAGGGGCTGCTCTCCCACCTCAAGGCCCTTCCCTTGGGCCCCTCCAGCTATAGCGGGTGCTATGGCCGCGGCAGAGAGCCCTGGGAGCCTGGACACATGCCACACTGCACAGGGTTTATAGATCCCGAGGGCTGGAGGCTAGAGCCCCATCCCATCCTCTTTTTGTGATGAGTCAGCGGGCCTCATCTTTCCATGACACTTAGATGTGGGTAGCCCCTCCTGCCGCCCCAGCTGAGGCAGTTTAGCCAGGCCCCTTCCCCATGACTTCCATTCTCCTCCTGCCCTTGTCCTCCAGACCCACTTCACCCAGGAAGTGGCCGGTGGACTCTCGCAGGCTCCCTGCACCTTGCAGCTTGCACCACTGCCCTCCCTTGCGGACCGATGCTGCACCCACTCTTCATGCACAGCTGCCTCCTGGGAGGCTGCAAAGTCAACAGAAGCTCAGAGCAGACCCTCACTGTGTCACAGCACTGTTCTTCGGGACAATTCCCCACATCCCCCAGGGCCACCCTAGTAGAAAGGAACCTCACCACAGCTAAGCAGAAGCTGGCCCCTTTGAGGGCAATTCGGGCCAAGTCAACCTTTTAGAATAAGGCAACTAAATCTGTAAGACCTATACCTGGATACCTGGGCTTGTTCCTCTACATGAAAGCAATGTCGGCCCGCTAGGATTAAGGAAGCCTTCCATGGGCAAGGCCTGGACCCAAGGACTTGGAGCTTTCCATGGTGCTTGGATGCAGGTGGCTTCCTCTATGTCCCCCACTGAGGCAGTTCAGCCAGGTCAAACTAGACCATCGTCCCCTTTAGTGTCATGGTGCCCACCAGGCATAGACTCAGCAGCTGGGTGGGGGGCATCATGAAACAGTTAAGCAAGCAATTATAAAATACTCCCTCTTCTTCCAGGCATCTCAAGGACACTGGGGTTACCAGACATGTTGAGGGGAATTCCAGCCAATGGGTCTCATCTCCAGCCCCAGAGTCATGGTCATTGAGAAGTCTCATTAAAGCCCATAAAGGTTGAATAGGCATTGTGGGCAGGCTGCTGATAGAGCCAGAGGAAGAGAGTCAGGGAGCGGCCATCCTGCCTTTGCAGGGGACTAGAACCCCAGGAGTTTTCCAAATAATCATATGGCCTTCTAGTCTTTAAGGAGACAAATACTAAAGCTGTAAGTCAAAAAGAGCTCAACAGGAGCAGGAGAAAAACTAATGTAAAAGATAAATGATAAAAATAAACAGAAGGCACCCGGGACTTAAGGGAGACTGATGAGCAATTAAAGGGTTGTGGATGTGGATAAAAATAGGAAAGATAAAGGGCAGCGAGAGCAGAGCTTAATAGAAAGGTTGGGGGATAATGTAGGTGAGGAGGGAGATTAAAAAGGAAGATATTAAGAAAGACGAAAAATTAAATAATTTATGGTGCTGGCTAGACAAGGTAAAAAATGTTCAAGGAAAAAAATGTCAAAAAGCAAAGGGATGAAAGTGTGACAACGCTCAAATATAAAAGGGTAAAAATAAAATAATAAAAAGGTGGTAAAAGATTAAAAACAGAATTGCATGAAATGTGAGATATAAATAAAACACTTTTTGCAAGGCCAGATTGAAACGAGGTGAGAGAAATATGATTTGAGAGATGAGGAGGAGAGATGATTACAGGAGCTGAGGGGATGCAGCCACGAAACAAGACTCCAAAGGAGCTAGAGCTGATGCAAAGCACAGCCACCTTGAAAGGTCACCGGGTCACATCTCTCTGAAATGACAACTGCCCTGTTTCAAGAGTGTGGGGCTGGGGCTTGGTGGCACATGCACTGGGGAAGCAGAGGCAGGTTCTACCCCTCCCCCAAAAGAGCATTACTGTTCTCCTCCTCCTCCTCTTCCTCCTCCTCCTCCTCTTCCTCCTCCTTCTCCTCTTCCTCTTCCTCACCCTCCTCCTCACCCTCCTCCTCCTCTTCCTCCTCCTTCTCCTTCTCTTCCTCCTCCTTCTCCTCCTCTTCCTCCTCCTCTTCCTCACCCTCCTCTTCCTCCTCCTCTTCCTCTTCCTCCTCCTCTTCCTCCTCCTCTTCCTCTTCCTCCTCCTCTTCCTCTTCCTCACCCTCCTCCTCCTCCTTCTCCTCCTCTTCCTCCTCCTCTTCCTCCTCCTCCTGCTTCTTCTCCTTCTTCTTTCAAAACTAAACCAGGCAGGCAACTCATGCTCTTGACCTGTCAGTCTTCATAGTTTCTTCACCATAGTGGCGCTGGTCCCCAAGCTGCTGGGATCACTCCATCGCCAGAGGTCCCATCCCCAGAACTGACTAGGTCCCGGGAACCCTGGGAGGATGTGGGGGAAGATAAGCCCCTCTTGAGTCATGGCTCATAGCCTGGACACAGCTCTATCTGTTCCTCAGCCTCAAGTCAGTTGGGTAGAAATGGCCCAAAACTCTTTAACCCCTGAAGGACAGGGGATGAGCAATAGCTAAGAGCCCAGACTTTGGGGTAGAGTCCTGGCTTCTCTGTTGACATCATGTGTGGGCCTGTGTCCTATCTGACAAGGAAGACATGGGAGCAATCACCACTGCTTCCTAGAGCTGAGGGGTAGATACTGATAAACTGACCATGGGGTAAATGCAGTTATTGTGATGGATTCCTGTTGGTCCAGGACCCAGTGAGCTCAGGTCGACTACAACACACCATATATGACCACAGGCAGAGGCCTGAACTTCACCAAACACAGAGCACAGTTGGGGTGGCGATTCCCGGCATGGGGGCACATTGTGTTTCGAACTTTCAATTGACACTGGAACATTTTTCAAGCCCAGTGAGCTTTCCTGGGCCTACCTCCCATCCCCCTGCTGCCCCAGATTTTCACTCTGCTGTATGGTTTTAAGATTTGTCACCTCAAGCCCGGGCCTTCTTAGAGCTCTAGCATCTCCAAGAGACATGAGGCTCCAGGTTGTCCTCTACGTCCTTCCTTCTTTGGCCACAGTCTGAGCTCCTGGCCATAGGGTCAGGCTAATTACTTGTCCCTGGGGCAGCTACACACATCATAGGGAGTGGCGCTGGCTGAGCTGTCCTGGCTGAAAACTCAGCCCCTTGCTTGGCTTGCCTGTGTGTAGGGCCAGCACCTCCTGCTGAAAGCACAGGCCCCTGTCTGTCTTGCCTTGCGTTGTCAAGGCAACCACACTTTGAGTGATAGGCAGGTACCAAGGCACAGGATCAGAACATCAAACTGTTCTGCCCTAAGGGACCAGGATCTGGGGGTGAGAACCCTGATGAGAAGGGCACCTGTCTTCCTGGGATGCGGCAGGCCACAGCAGCCTGTGTGGGCTCACCAACCCCATTGTCTACTCTCACTGTTCTAAACCTCTGGGGTTAGGTACTCAGGGTGCCTTGCCCTAGACAGACAGATAGACATGAGCCTGACTGTGCCTGCCCTCTGGCCCCTCAGATCACAGGGCAGATCCCCATTCCAAAGATGGAAACCTACCCCACCACCCTCCCTGCAGGCCCAGCCTCTCTTCTGGCTCTGCTCTTCACAAGCTCATGAAAAATTCATGCACCCAAACCTCAGCTCACACCAAGAAAGCTCACGCAATGTGCTCCCGGGGCCCTGCTTTTGAAGGTTCAAGGTACTTTCGGCTGTGGATGTGAGTGGCAATCGGGGTGCATGTGGGTGGATGTGAGTTCTTGGGATGGGCCACAAATGGCCTCTGGATACACACCAGTACAGAGTGCACATTGTGACCCACATAGACTAAACTGCCAGGTAGGCTGACCCTCAGCACCCAGTAGCAGAGGCCAGAATGCGGCCAGAAAGACCAGGCCAGGCCAGGGGCCATTCTGAGTCCTCCCACTAGAGAAATGTGACTGTGGATGCCCTGTCTTGTTCTGTGATGCATCAGCCAAAGCTTCAGGTCTAGGTTCTTGGTCTGTGTGTCCAAGCAGGGTCAGACAGGCAGCAATCAGAAACATGCAGGTCATATTGCCAGTGTGTATGCATGTGCACGGGTGCATGGACGTAGGGAGACGTGGCCTAAGTCAAGGCACTCAAGGGTCCAGCAATTGGGCTGCTAATCCCTGAACACTTCTCCTCTGGGGTTTGCCCCCTCCCTGCCTCCTCTTTCAACCTTCTGGCTCTGTGTCTGGGAGAAGCTTAGCTCTGGGCCTGGCTCCTCTATTGCTAAGTGATTGTAGCGAGCCCAGATGGAGAGCCTTATGACAGAAAGTGGGGAAAGGTTATTTTTCTGGACCCCTGTTTTCAGTAACTTGTTGAGGAGAAATATTACCCCTGGTCCCACGGCTCTTCTCCAGGAGCAATAGGAGAGCGTGAAGTTATGAAATTGAGGGCACCTTCACTGAGCAATCGATTAGCAACTGAGGGAGCCGGTGAACTGGCTGCCTGGACATTTCCAGTAATAAATTGTGAAATAGTCCATGAATAAGTAGTCTCGGAGTTGAGAATTACCCCCTAGGAAATGTTGCTGGGTTGGAGACGCATTGCTAAGGCGAGCACCATTTTAATGCCCTGGGCTTCAGCTGTTAAATATGTATGCCATCCGCAAAGCACTTCCCAAAATTAATGGCATTTTGCAGCTGCTCCGAAGGCAGCGTATTTAGATGGAGATGTATAGATTCTGGGGCTGCGGTGGCTTCACAAATGAAGTGCTAATTTTAGAGGCCAAGGCCAAGGAGAGGCGTGGAGGGGGCGGGTCAGGAAGGGAGCAGTCCTAGGGGCTTTTCCCAAACAATCCTCTCCACTTCCCCAGGCAGCCATGATCCTTACCGTTTTGGTGGCAATGGGTGTGGTCTCTAAGAGGGAAAGGTTACTGAAGTCACAGGCCAGTCGGTCCACAGGAGAGGGTGTGAGTGTGAATAGTAGTCATGAGAACAATAATAGCGATGCTGGAAACTGACACTTGCCAGGCACCAAGGGCTTCTCCCGGGTGGATCCATCTTATCCCTATTCCTGTTGGGATAGGTTCTGTCAAAATCTCCATTCTACAGAAGGAGGTTTGGGGCATCTCTCCCCATCTGCACAATTTCCCTGGGAAAGATGACGCCTTCTCTCTAATTCTTTCTCTAAGTTAAATAAGGTCAGGGACCCCTGGTGCAATAGTGCAGCTTCTCCACTGCACAGAAGTATCCGTCAGAGGGGTGAGTGGACTGTCAGCCCACCTAAGCCCCATGCCCAGGGTGTGGGGCAGTATTACCTGGGAAGGCCCAATGTTTCTGTACCTCCATTCAGCCTGAGCCCCTGACCCAGGCCCACCTGGGCTTCCTGTCCCGGTGTTGAGCTGCTTGCCTGCCTCCTGGCTGCAAGGTAGAACCAGAGGCCCTGAGGTCTAGGGTGGGACTAACCCAAAGGTCCATGTTCCCATGTGATTAGACTGGCAAGCATTGTCCCCCAAAGGGCTCCTGAAAGCTTGAGCAGAGCAGTCATAAGATGGGGTGGCACAATGGGAGACTTGGGGACCAGGACAGAAGAAAAGCCCACCTGCCCCAGCAGGAGCCTGGGTTAGGCACTGGTGGGTTTCTGCTCCTGAGGACATCCAACAATGGTTACCAGAACCTTCCACTTCCCACCCTGTCCCAGGGGCTCATGGGGTCAAGAAAAGTGCCCTGTCAATGGGGAGAACATTGAGACACCCCTCTATGTAAGTACTTGTGGTTTTGTGGGCATGTGTTCTGTCGGTGAATGGCTCTCTGCTAGTAGAGATGTTTAGACAAGAGCAGGGTGCCAGGGTGAGTGTGGGGGAAGGTGGCTATCAGGCCAGGGCAGAGGATGGGTCAGGACTGACATCCAAGAGATCCAAGCAGGTGAAGGGATAGCAGCTCTCAGCCTGAGTTCGGGACCTGCAGGAACAGGTGAGGACAGGAGGGTCTGGGCATACGGAACAGGCAGGAAAGGAGCTGGGGGGTGAGGAGTGCTGATTGATTGGGTCTATCAGAAACTGAACTTCACTGAACTATTTATTGTCAACTTCTGTGTGGCTTTGGGTCATATAGTGACCCTCTCTGAGTCTTTTTCTTAGCGTGTCAAATGGGGATAAGATCATCTATTCTGCATGCCAATAAGACTTAAACAAAACAGACTGACAGGAGTCAAAAATGGTACACAGTAGTAATTCAACAAAAGCGGAGTTTGCAGGTGGGGGCGGGTGTTCCGCTCAACCATCCCCAGAAATTCTGCATAACATGTTGTGGGTGGGGATGGGCGCTTGAGGCCCACAGAATCATGAACTTGCAATTTTTTGCCCTGGATTCTGGAGCATCGGAATCTTTCCACTTCCAAGCATCTCCAAGTGGATGCTGTCAGTTCAGTCCTCCCGGTGGGCTTCCTGCCTCTTCCCATAACTTCTCAACTGGGGCACAGCCAGGGCTATGCTTCTCATGAGTCAGACAGAGCTAAGCCCTACTCTGTGCCTTCCACTGGCTTCCCATCACCGACACAGGACAGGCATCCCTGGACTCACAAACTGCCTTCTTGAGGACCAGCTGACCCCGGGAGAAGCGCAGCCAGCGCATGCAGATGGAGCTTCCACTGTAGTCAGTGTGGCTCACTGCCAGGTCCTGACTTGGGGCGCTGAGGAGACCTTGGGTACAGAGTGGTATCAGGAGGGATGTCTAATCTAGAACAAGTTGGGAAGGCACCATACCTGATGAAGGGCTTTGGCTGCACTGTCCTCCAACTTGAGTGGATGCTAGGCTTACCCACAGCTCCTGCCTCAGTGGGTCTAGTGGGAAGCCCAAGGGTGCTTCCTAACAGGTTCTAAGGTCAGGCTGATGCTTGATGCTGGCCTGGAACACTAACACAGCGGAAAACCTGTGCTATGGAATCCGGTAGTTCCTGTCCCACCACTTGATAGCTCTGGGGTCACTAGCACTTAAGTCAGTCTGTACCAGCAGAGCCCTGGCCCCTTGTTCTGGGACCATCCCTGCAGGTGCCATGGCAAGGCTGTTGGTCTAAGCCATTTGAGATGTTTTCAGAAAAACAAGGCTCCAGGGCCTAAGGATGGGTGGTGTTGGCAAAGTGCTTTGTGATGTAAGCAGGAGGCCGGAGTTCGATCCCTAGAACCACATATAAAGCCAGGCATGTGGCTCATGCTTGAAATCCAGGTTCTGGGGGGTACACAGGCAGGAGGATCCTGGGGCTCTGCAGCTAGCTAGCCTATCTTACTCAGCAGGCTTCAGACCAGTGATGGACCCCGTTGCAAAAACAGGGTGTATGATGGTCTCTGATACCCACTCCATCCCATTGAAGCAAAGTGAACTTCAAGTGCTTAATTCTGGTTACATGAATACATACAATTTTTTAAAGGGATTTTTGTTTTTTATGCAGGGTCTCACTATTTTCACCCTGGCTGATCTGGAACTCTATGTAGACTAAGCTGGCTTCAGATTCACAGAGATCCTCCTGCCTCTGACTCCAGAGTGCTAGGATTAAAGGCACAAACCACCATATCTGGCCAAGGGGAAATATTTAAAAACATTTTTTACATTTAATGCATGCTAATTTTATTATTATTAAAATGTAAATAATAAAAAAGTTGATGATCCTTGAAGAATGACATCTAAGTTTGACCTCTGGCCTCCACATGTAATTGCACACATATGTACATGTATATATATCCATATACACACATACTCAGTGAATGTGTATGTGTGTGTGTGTGTGTGTGTGTGTGTGTGTGTGTGTGTGTGTGTGTGTGTGTGTGTGTGTTAGAGCCTAGTCCAGGTGTGGAGCACATGCCTCTAATTCCAGCATTTGAGAGGTGCAAGTAGGAAGATCAGGGGTTCTAGGTTGTCCTTAACTACTTAGAGGTTTCAAGGTCAGCCTGAATTACAGAGCCTACCCCCACCCCAGACACCTAGCCTAGCATCTTCTCTCCCTTCTGTCCACACAGGAGGAGCCCTTTGTCATGTTCCGCAAGTCTGACAGGACCCTTTATGGCAACGATCGGTTTGAGGGCTACTGCATCGACTTGCTCAAGGAGCTGGCGCATATCCTGGGCTTCTCCTACGAGATCCGGCTGGTGGAAGATGGCAAGTACGGGGCACAGGACGACAAGGGCCAGTGGAACGGCATGGTCAAGGAACTCATTGACCACGTAAGCCAGGGCTTGGGCGTGGAGGTTGGGGTAAGGACAGGGCTGGAGGTTCTAGTGACCACCATTTGAACATCTGGGCATCCCAGCAGGTAAAGGTCCCAGAACTGGGGCGGTGGAGGTTGTGTTCCTTAGGGGTCAAGATCTACAAGAAGTAGCCTAGGCTGTCCACATCCCAACATCCCCACTATATACACAGATTGGTCCCTCTGACGATGGGCCTTCCGAGGCATCTTTGGTGAGGTTGTCATGGAAAGAATTCATGCATCTTCTCAAACTTTTGCTCCTTGAAGGATGTCTCAGCCCCGGGGTTGAGAAGCCTAAGCAAACATGAAAACAGATCTGTCACTTCTTCTAATCACTGTAGGTTCACTGGTGAGACAAGTGACTCAAGAAACGGGCTTAGGGCTGGCATGGAGGCGCGAGTAAGACTAACTAGGCAGCACCAAGAACCTCTCACCCTGCCCGGGACAGGGAAGACTGGGGGTAGGGAGCCTTGCAGGCAGGGTGAGGGGGAGAAACGCATGGGAGAAGCCTGAGTTTGTAGAACATGAGGAAGAAGACAAGAATTCGTAGGCCAGGAGAGGAAGTGGAGCCCTCAGCTATGGACACAGGCACAAGTCACCCAGCCTCTGAGCCGGTTTCTCCTCAGTGAAATGTGAGTCACCCACCCCCCACCCCTGACTCCCAATCCTCCACAGCCCCACCCCCACCAGGAGTACTGGGACAGTGATACAAGGCCACAGGTACCTGTGTAACGCTAACAGCAAACACGCCCTCCCTCTTGAAGCCAGGTTCAGCACCAGCAGATCTGAGGTTCAAAAACTAGCCTTTAGGTTTAGCATATATATGACCTAGTAAGTTCCTCAGTACATGCATATATACACACATACATACATCCCAGCTCCATGCCTTCCTTTTGACTGCAGGAGTAGTTAGTAACTGCCAAGGCCACTAAAGAAGGTGTGGGAATATAACCTGTCTGTCAGGCTCACAGGGCACAGATAAAGTGTCCCCCACCTTCCGTCTCAGGGCCCTCAGCAATACAGAAGCAATACCTATCTGAAAGAGATCTTGCCTGCACTTAAAGGTGGCAAGGACCAGATGTGTCCTGGGTGCCCTAGACCTCCTCTCCCCAAATCCTTAGAGCAGCCCACTGAGGCAGTTACAGAGACCGCGGCAGAGGCAGGAGGGAGATAGGAGCCCAGCCTCAAAGATCAAGTGGTGGGCTGAATTCAAAGCCAGAGAGTCTTTAAAGACTATGTACATAAGTGGCCTGGGCTTTGATCTCTCTAGAGAGAACACACTGGCCCAGAGCCAGGGCGGAGGCACATTCATGGCTGACACAGTCTCCAGTACCCCATAGTCCCTGTCAGTGTCTGGGCTCCTCACTGTTCTCTCTCCAGGCAGAGGCAGCTGTACCAGGCTTTGACAAATGCCCTGCCCCACTGGGCATTGGAAAGGTACTGTATGGAGACCTCAGAGGCAAATGATGGAGAGGAATGTTGAAACGTAAGAGTCGAGTGGAGTATGACATAGTAGACCTATGTCCCTGGCCTGGCAAACATGGTCTGTATGGAAGCCTGGTAGGAGGGGGCAGTGTTGAAGAGCCCGTACTGATGCTGCCACTTGGTAGCTAGGTGTCCCTGGACAGTCTAAATGTCCCCTCGCCTGTAAAAGGGGATGACATGCTCAGGACTTGCCTCCCAGGGGCAAGTAAGGACTCCGTTAGCAGGTGTGCCTGGTGAAGTTGGTAGACCATCAGTCCTTGATGTCATTGTTTTTTATTTTTATCCTCGCAGTTGTTCCTTAGAGACTGAGGAGGGAGTTGTTCAGGACTCCTTTTGTGTCCCCAAGGTCCAGTTTCCTACCTCCACAGTGAGAAAGATGATAACTGTCTCCACTTTCCCCTGCCCACTGTGAGACAAGAAAGAGACACTGGATGGGAAGGGTTTCTGAGCCACACGCTTCCAAGTAAATGGGAAGCGTGTTGTCAATAGTATTAGTAATAACTGTAATTATTATGGAAATGAGCCAGCAGGACCGGACGCACCTCCTCTTACCGGCTCCCCCAAGCCTTGTGAGTGGAACTCTGGAGCCTGGCTTTTGCAGAGGAAATGGAAATAGAGAGGACAGGGCTTCTGTAAGACAGATAGCCAAGACCACACATAGGAAGAGATGAACAGACACTCCTGCCACCGCTGTGTCTCTGTGGCCCCCAAACTTTGAAGAGCCAACTTTTTAAAGGGACATGATGAGAAAGGTCAGCAGCAAGCAGACCCTCAGTGTCCCTCTGCTGGGGAACCGCAGGAACCTCCGCCACAGTCTCCATACTGCTGGCCAGTGCTTTGGAGACCCCATACCCAGCAAGGCCAGGAGCCTGGATGGGACATGCAGGGGACCTTGTTAAACCTGATTCCCTACAATTGATGAGCCTGTTAATCCTAGCTTGGTGCCGTTTTTAATAACATCATAACCATTTATTAGTGTCATCAGATAATTAGTCTTCTCACTAGTTCATAGGGAGCATGGTAAAGACTTGGCAATATTATTACTTCCTTATTAGGGCTCTGAATGGAGGCATAAAGATGATGGATTCCCACCTCTGGAAGTATCTGCCCCCCGAGGTTCATTTGGAGGTTCTGGGCAGACCCTCCAACCGACAGAACTTAAAATGTCCTTCCCTGACACCCTGCTACCCTCTGGTCCATGCTACATGGCTGTTCAAGGAGCTAGCATTATGGGAGGTGGGCACCAGGAGGATGCAAACCCTTCCTGCAGACACACTCACCTTCCCTGAGATACTGTTAATCACACAGCAGCAAATGCTATTCAATTGCATGTCTCTCCTGATCTCTCTCCATCACCGCTGCCTGCTCCCTCTCACCACCCCACCCCCCCGTGTCTCTGCTCACCTCCCCGTCTTCAGTCCTCCTGTGAGTCCTGACAACTCTAGAATCCGATGGCAATAGATTCAGATTCCAGGCTGGGAGTTTCAGCTCACACAAGAAGAGTCGTCCAACCTGCGTGGCTCCCATTCCCCCAGCTTCAAATGATAACAGAGCCTTAGTCTTGGTTCATGCTCAGAGAGGGTTCATACGTGAGAGGCAGCCTGCTCGGGGCCAACTCTTCCAAGTGCAGCCCCTCCCCCACTTCTCTAATGTGTCTGTGCTCAAACATGGTGGCAGTGGGAGAAATCATCCATCAGCCACAGTCATCCTTCTCGACAAGCTGTAACTGAGGACTGACCAGGACCTCAGCCTTCCCTACCTGACTCTAAACAGACAGCCTTGGAGGCTGACTCATGTCCGTCCGACTCTTAGGAAACTGAGGCACACACTGAAGTTCTGCTCTGCTTGGAACACTGGTATTTTTTACACCAGGAACCCCACCTGCCATCTAGAGTGCCCATGTCCTGCTACTGGTCCCCAGGAGCCTAGATGGGAAGTGTGAAGGAAAAGTCCCCAGAGGAGAGAGCCTGAAGCCAAAGGAAGGCCACAGATGGAAAGAGAGACAAGGTTATCAGCCTTGAGAATTGAGTTATTTCATTTTCCCATTCTGGGGATGGATTCTGGGACCTTACACATGCTAGGCAAGTATCCTGTCACTGGGACATACACCCAGCCAAGTTATTTAATTTTAATATCGAGAGCTACAGAACACCAGTAGAGGATATGGATCTGGGGGCAGGGGTGAGTAACAGCATCCTGACTCTAAAGGAAAGGTTCTCCTCTCTTGAGTCAAACTGGAGCCGGCCCAGGCATGTGGCTGAGGCCTGGGAGAGAGGGGAGGTGCAGTGGGAAAGAAGGAAACAGAAAGCCCATGGAGGAGACATGAAGCCTGCAAGCTGGGTCAGTGGAGGGGTCAGGGAAGGATGGTGACGATGGACCAGACAGTGGATTCTAGCATGGGCCTCTTGGGAGATACTGGTGCTTTCCCCGAGTGTCAGGGCCCCTAGAGAAGTCACTTGAGGCATGTTAGAACCCTATTCTCAGCAGGTAGCTGGCCACAGGCTATGAGGAGGGAGCCAGATCGGGATAAAGGGGGAAACTGCTCAGGGTGCCTAGTCTGGCAAGCAGGAGAACCAGGAAAGTGTGGGTAGGGAGGTCACTGAGACCAGGCTCAGACCTGAGATGTATGGCATAGAGTTTCCCCTGGTTTGCAGATAGGCTGACACCAAGATAGGGGACAAAGAATGATCACAGGTTACCTTGATATGTCATCCTTCCTTTGTGAAGAAATAGCCGTGCTCAAATGTCCCCCCTACCCGCTATCACAGAGTAGAGCCAGGGAAAGTGGCACATCCAGGAGGGACAGTGTCCTCTGCTGGACTCTTCTCCTAGACAGAAGTTTCTGATGCACTTAGCTTGGCCATTGTCCAGCACCTAGATGCAAAGCAGGCATTGGTAAATGAAAGATTCATAAATGGGCATGGATTGCTCCTCCTGCCCAGCTACATGACTGTGGGTCATGACTCAGCTTCACATCCAAAATGTTCATGTGGAAAGTTTGGTGTCAAAGCTGTGACCTCATCACCTAATGGGTCCATTGTTTTCCTACCATAAGCCAGTTCCTCCTCCTGGTCTGCATGCACAAGGGTTGGCCCCAGGCCCTACTCTTGTATCCAGGAGAAGCTCTGCCCAACCTACCTCACTCAGGCTAGACAGATGCACTTAAATACAAGGCATGCTGGGAGCTCTCCTGGGGCAGGTCAGAATGCTTCCGGGACAGCACAGTTAGGGCAGGGAAAACAGATGGCTAAACACCTGGACTGTTGTCGGGGCAGCAGATTGCCCAGAGATAGACCTAAAGAGTGTTGTAGAAGTTCAAGAGGTCATCAGAGTAAATATATGGGGAGGACCAGGGTGGTGGGCTTGCCAGGGTGGGGAGATGGGGGAAAACAGGGTGGAAATCCTCAGTGCAGGCAGCTCAGAAGGCCTTGGGGAGCTCCAACCTGGGCACACACAAGGCAGTGAGAAAAGGGATTCTTTTAGGAAGGTAGT